ACAATTTTTTATCAATAGGGAGAGTTTTATGAGTTCAAACGTACCAAGATGGCGTCAAAGGGACGAGTCTTGAGACCACAAGGAGCCTTAATGGTGTTTCCGTGCATTGGATCACTGACCCAAGTCACAATCTGTCCAGCGCGTCGCACAGCTCTGATCAAATGAGGAAGCTTCACTCTCATATTCTCAGCTCCCATTCTTGTGATTATGGTAATCCTTCCAGGCTTATTGTCAGCATTCAAGATCTCAATCAACTTCACTAGCTCCTTTGGATCCATTTTATCACTCACCTATACAACAAATGATCTCAATCAGTCTCACTACGGCAAAACTAAAACCTGATATGTATTATAAGAAGAGTTGGGATAACAAACCTTGATTCCAAGAGGATTAGCAACACCTCTTAAGAACTCAACATGGGCACCATCGAGCTGTCTGGTACGCTCACCGACCCAAATCATATGGGCAGAACAATCGTAATAGAGACCAGAGGTCGAGTCTAGCCTTGTTAGTGATTGTTCATAAGGCAAGAGCAAACATTCATGAGAAGTCCAGAAGTCGGTTGTTTGCATAATGGGATGATCGAGCGTTAGTCCAGCAGCGTGCATGAAACCGAGCGCTTCATCAACACGGTTAGCTAGTTCACGGTACCTGCCAAACCAATATAACGAATTTAAACCCACATACCCGAAATGTAGACAAAGATAACGAGATATCCTACATTTACTCGATAAGGTTGGAACAATGATTAGGCTTATCAGCTACTAAAAAAGGGAACAACTTCTACACCCTTTTTTTGCATTCGCTCCATAAATAAAAACCTAACTAGTTGATACCAAATAAGGTTAGGTATTCAAAAAGTGAACATTGCATCAAAATAAGCCAACACAAGCAATAAAACACGATGTAGTCAGTTATATGATCCCAAAACTAGGCCTTAATGTTTCTTTACGTTTGCGTTTAGAATATCATAACACGGAAACACTCAGATCTTACTCACGACTACAACAAATCCCTAACTGTTTACATTCCACTAGACACAAACAATCAAACATGTAACTCTATGGCAACTAAGAGATCCAAATCCAAAAGCTTTAAAGTTTTCTTTAGTTACCTGTCTCCTTGCTCACTACGTTCAGTGAAATCAAGATTCCATTGAGTAACTCTCTGCATAGCAGCATAACCACCAGTAGCAAAAGCTCTCAAAAGATTCAAAGTAGCAGCAGATTGACAATAAGCTCTAATCATCCTCTGTGGATCAGGAATCCTAGATTTCGAATCAAACGCATCTCCATTAATGTTATCTCCTCTGTAACTAGGCAATTTCACTCCATCTTTCTCCTCAAACGAATCTGATCTCGGTTTAGCAAATTGACCCGCCATTCTCCCAACCTAAAAACTCAAATCTCATCACACAAAATCCAAACTTTCTTCAAAAATCAATCAAAAGTCTCAACATTTATCATACCTTAACAACAGGAACTTGACCTCCGAACATCAAAACAGCACCCATCTGAAGAAGAATCCTGAAAGTATCACGAATGTTATTCGCATTAAACTCTTTGAAACTCTCTGCACAATCTCCTCCTTGTAACAGAAACGCTTCACCCATCGCTGCTTGTCCTAATCGTTCCTCAAGCAATCTAGCTTCTCCGGCGAATACGATCGGAGGAAAAGCTTCGATTGTCTCGAGCACAGCTTCAAGCTCAGCTAAATCTGGATATTCCGGTTGTTGTAACGCTTTCTTTGTCCTCCAACTCTCTGGTGCCCATTTCCCTTTACCCACATTAACTCCAACGGTCTTCGTCAACGCTGCCGGAGTCGTCGCCGCCGCCGCCGCCGCCGCCGCCGATGAAGCTGCTGGCGTTTTTGGGTCGGTTTGAACGGCGGAGATCCGGAAAGAAGTGGGTCTTGCGACGGCGGAGGAGAAGTTTGGTTGACGGTGGTTGATCATCGATGATTTGACCGATGATAGATTCATGGTTCCATTCATAAGCGCCATTTTCGTTTACTTTGATAAAACAAAAAAAGTTTTGATTTTTTAATTTGGGTTTGGTGTTGAGATTTCGACAAATGTGTGTGTGAAATGTTACACGAAACCTGAGAAGTGTTAAGATGAGAATTTGAGGGTTTTATAAACGAAATCGGAGATGGTGGTGGTGTTTGGTGAAGAAGAAGGCTAATGTGTTGTGGTAGGTAATTTACTTGTAAGGGTATTTTTGGTAATTCCTATTTTTGGGATTGTTAGAAGGGTAAATTTGTCAATTTGACTCAAACGATAACCGGCTAACGTGTCCGTAACCGGAAACGTACTTGGTTAGCGTCGTGTTGAATGGCATGTGTTTGCCGCTAACGTTTGGTGAGAAATTTTTTATCATATATTTTTTTAATCATATTTTCTTAACAACAGTCTACAATCTATTTTATTAAAGCTTGTTTAATTTATTTTATAGAATTTGGAGACTCATTTAGATTATCGAATAAGTTCTTTTATTAAAAATAGATAACTAAAACTATATAAAAGAAAAGAGTATAATGATATATTGAAGCAAAATTACGGTAAGATACTTTAAAGAGTTATATCAAACGTTGTTTGTTAGAAGGATCAAAAGTATTTTTCTTTAACCGCGTAGAGTCTTTATTAATATAAACACGGCGTTGGTCGTGGTCAAGATTTAGTATACTTACAAAAGTTGGTCGAATGTTGTGTTATGTGGAAAAAAACATGGGTGTAATTGTACATATTTGAAGTAGTAATAAATTAAATACATTTATAAGTAGATTGACTGATAATAAGTTAATAACCGATCGAGATGAAATGAGGCTGAGTAAAACTAGGTTATCTCACCTAACACTCGTCGTAAATGACGGAAGCCCACCATTCTAATTTCGCCAACTCCCACTTTAGTTATAATCTTATTTATTGTTTATTTGTAATTGTTTATCGTTTCAAGTCTATTCGATTTGGACATATTATTATTTTTTACCAAACTTTTTTTGTTGGTTAGTTTTACTAGTATTGGTTTATAAGATTTGTTCCAATCTCATCCAATTCGTATGTGTTATTAACGACTAGTTCTATATTTGTAGACTGAAGACTGAAAAACTTTCCGCTTATATGAATATTATCATGCCTTCTCGTATACGATCAAGGACCACATTCAATGGACCTATTCTTGGTATTTGTTATAGGTATTATTAGTAAACGTGTTATGCAGACTTGAAAATGAAGAGCATATTCTTTTGTATTATTCCTGCTATAGATCACAAAATGGATCGTCGATGTAATAATGATCTGGTGAGGTCGACCCCACGGAGTCTTGTTCTTCATTATGTTGGTGGAAAGGAGAGAGGGAGAGAGACAAAATGTTAGGTGTGTTGACTTTGGGGTTATGTGCTTATTAGAAAGATATATACTCATTAGCGATTTCAAATTAGAGTTAGATCAATATAAACTATACTTGTTGTTGATGACAAAAAAAAATTTATACTTCTGATTTCTCAACTCCAATTTTGTTTTCTTTTCGACATTTTTTTTTCTGCTGTTTGACTTTGACTGAAGTTGTGAGAAATAATGTATGACGAAATGTAGCTACGACTAGAAAATGAATAGTAGAATTAACGTATTTGAGAAACAAGGCTTATTGGATTAAATAAAGAACGTGCTTATACTGGACCATAAGGATATTGATAATCTCATACTAAGATTTGATGGGCTAACAAAATCCATTGGGCTTAGTTGTCATGCTTCCTAAAACAGGGGACCATTCTATTCAGACCCTTCGACTTATGTTTGCGGCACATTAACATTCTCGTGTTTATGTTTCACAATTCACACCAACCATAATTTTCCTATTTAGTTTATCCAATTCGCTTGTTCTGTATCATCCGTTCAACCATTTATACCGTACACGACTAGTCTAGTACTCCACCAATTAATTTCATAATTGCAAATGAAAAATCGAGTCAAACCCTAGTCCAAAAGGGTAATTCGACCTTGGTTACATATTGTTTCCAAATTTTGAAGTCAAAGCCATGCATTAACTTAGTTACAGATTGTATCCAAATTTCTTTGTCACGTCTCACGGAGCGTATATATTTTTCTTCTTTGTCACAGTGTATTACTGTATTAGGCTTGGGTTTTGCCCTGTTTTGTGGTTATTTTTCTTTGATGAAGTTCCTTTGATAAATGTAATAGTGGAAAAGAAAAATTATAATTGTAAGAACCTGGAAATAAAGACAAAATTTTAGTGACGTCAAAAATAAAAGACATCAAAACACGTAAATTTCCCAACCTGTACCGTACAAGGACAAAACCTTAATAGTTCCAAAATTATTAAATTTCACAGAAAGTTAAAAACAACCAAAGGTATCCGCAAGAGGTAAAAATCTATAGGAAAATAAAGGCAAGTGGTCCACTCCCACGTCAATTATAGTCAACTTATTGCTCTGTTCGACATACTATATAATTGACATAATTTACCTCCTTATTAATCATGGATTAATATAACTTTCTAAGTATGCTTATGTCTTGCACTTAAGGCGAAACGTTGAAAATGTTAATTAAGCGGATATACTAAATTCCAGATTAATTATTCGGCACAACGGTCACAAGCAAAAACTAATTTGGAAAAATTTCCCTTGTAAAAACGGATAGGCTCATAGGCACATGTGACAGGTGCCTTGGAAGATATACTTGGAACGTGATCCTATATTTTGTTGCACGTATCCCTAAATGATTAGATCCATTCGGCAAGTATGGCTTGTAGATTTTCTGCAGTACGCTCAGCATGTAGATGAACATTATCTTTTATTTGATTATTATGAATTTTACATATATAAATGGACAAATCCCGGCCTCGAAATGGCTCATGGCAGATTTGGATACTGTTCACACGTGACGTGATTTTTGGCGGACAACCACCAAGGGCAAGAAGTTATTAGTTTGGTCTCTTTTTTGTTTCTCTATAAAATGGCTTATGTCAAAGACAAACCAAAACTCACATTTGTTTATTACAAAAAGGGGAAACTCACAATTGTCTTCGCGGAAGAGATAAATAAAAATGGGATCTCAGATCGTTGATAACTCACAAAAACCACACGTAGTTTGCGTGCCTTATCCGGCTCAAGGCCACATCAACCCTATGATGAAAGTGGCTAAACTCCTCCACGCTAGAGGCTTCCACGTCACCTTCGTCAACACCGTCTACAACCACAATCGTTTCCTTCGTTCTCGTGGGTCTAACGCCCTCGAGGGGCTTCCTTCGTTCCGGTTTGAGTCCATACCTGACGGTTTACCGGAGACGGACATGGATGCCACGCAGGACATCACAGCCCTTTGTGAGTCCACCATGAAGAACTGTCTCGCTCCGTTCAGAGAGCTTCTCCAGCGGATCAACTCCAGAGATGATGTTCCTCCGGTGAGCTGTATTGTATCCGACGGTTGTATGAGCTTTACTCTTGACGTTGCGGAGGAGCTTGGAGTCCCGGAGGTTCTTTTTTGGACGACCAGTGGTTGTGCGTTCTTGGCTTATCTACACTTTTATCTTTTTATCGAGAAGGGTTTATCTCCGCTAAAAGGTACGTATGTGTTCTTACATTGATTATTGACTTAATTGACGTTATAATATTAAATTTAACGTAAGAACCCTTAAAACACCACGAGCATGGTGAGTTATTAATCTACGAGATCGTTCGTATATTGAATATATAATATCCATTTAGCGAAGCTATAGGCAATGATATCCTAATTGATCCACCCGTACGAACAAGACCGGTCAAGATGGTCATGTTGTAATATTTTTTTTTTTTGTAATATATACTTAAATTTTATACAATTGTTACATTGTAGCCTAGGTTTTTGAGCTTTACCAAATAGTATCAAGATAAATGTCCATATATTAATATATATATACATAACGTAATGAATGTTTTGATATATTTTTAATTTCTACGCGTTTGCAGTTTTCTTGTAATTTAATAAGAGAAAATATCACTGTTGATTTGTTTTAAAGCATTGATATCTTTCTAACCTTCCGCTTCCCCTATCCGCTAGTCAATTTTGAGTGACATTAAGGATTTAACGGAAATCCCATAACCATATTTTGTTAATAGATGTGTAGATTCTTAACTTTGATTACAATTTAGAATCGAGTTAAAGAAAATGTTCTAAATTCAAATTTGTGTTTTACATAAAATTTTTTGTTAACTTATCTAAAAGTTATATGATATTTTCAAACGTCGCCTTTCTATAACTTTCATTATTTAGTTTGAAAGTAAACAATAATATATTTGATATTTTTGAAATTATCATTAATATTTGTGAAAAGCCTCAAAATCTTAAAAGAGAGATTTTAAATAGTAACAAATTTTAGGTGAGCTAAAGCGTATATAAAAGATAGGTTATTTATATGTGTAAAGATTCTTTTGTTTGTGTTGGTTCCAATTTTGTTCGGTGACCTTTAATAACATATAGGTGCATAAGGAGATTTGATCATGACAACAAAAAGATAACCAATATTGCCAAAAAAAAAAGAGAGAGAGAAAGAGAGGGCAAAATTGTTGACAAAATAAATAAATTTGAGTAATATCCAAACATGAAAGTGAAATAAACCCTTAAAAATCAATGCAATTAGACATATCATTGTCCAGGGACCAGGCCACTCTGTCTTTTCATATTCATAACTCCTTATGGCTCTGAAGTTACACAATGAATGCCGTGTCCTATAGAGTCATATAGACGTAGACGCTTATTCGCTTATGTAAATGCATCAAAATTTTGAAAAATGGGGTGCTTAAATTTTTATTAACTAATATTGGGACACTAATAAATGGTGATTGTTTTGGCAGATGAGAGTTACTTGACGAAGGAGTACTTAGACAAAACCGTTATAGATTTTATACCAACCATGAAGAATTTAAAACTAAAGGATATTCCTAGCTTCATACGTACCACTAATCCTGATGATGTTATGATTAAATTCGCCCTCCGCGAGACCGAGCGAGCCAAACGTGCTTCTGCTATCATTCTAAACACATTTGATGACCTTGAGCATGATGTTGTTCATGCTATGCAGTCCATTTTACCTCCGGTCTATTCAGTTGGACCGCTTCATCTCTTAGCAAACCGGGAGATTGAAGAAGGTAGTGAGATTGGAATGATGAGTTCGAATTTATGGAAAGAGGAGATGAAATGTTTGGATTGGCTCGATACTAAGACTCAAAACAGTGTCATTTATATTAACTTTGGGAGCATAACGGTTTTGAGTGTGAAGCAGCTTGTGGAGTTTGCTTGGGGTTTGGCGGGAAGTGGGAAAGAGTTTTTATGGGTGATTAGGCCGGATTTAGTAGCTGGTGAGGAGGCGGTGGTTCCACCGGAGTTTTTAACGGAGACCAAAGACCGGAGTATGCTAGCGAGTTGGTGTCCTCAGGAGAAAGTTCTTTCTCATCCGGCGATTGGAGGGTTCTTGACGCATTGCGGGTGGAACTCGATATTAGAAAGTCTTTCAAGTGGAATTCCAATGGTGTGTTGGCCATTTTTTGCTGACCAGCAAATGAATTGTAAGTATTGTTGTGACGAGTGGGATGTTGGGATTGAGATAGGTGGAGATGTGAATAGAGAAGAAGTTGAGGCGGTGGTTAGAGAGCTCATGGATGGAGAGAAAGGAAAAAAAATGAGACAGAAGGCGCTAGAGTGGCAGAGCTTGGCTAGGGGAGCGACAGAGCATAAACTTGGTTCCTCCGTGGTGAATTTTGAGACGGTTGTTAGCAAATTTCTTTTAAGACAAAAATCACAGGATTAACTAAAACATAAGATACCGAAATGTATTATTTCTATAATGATTACTAAGTGAGTGTTTATTTTGTTTCTATTATCTGGTCCATTTTATAAGATGTGTTAGAATTGTTTTATGTTTCATTTTGTTTTGTTTTTCAAATTTTAATGTTTCAAATTTCAAACATGGTTTTCTTTCCTTGTTAATTTGAATTTTAATATTTTGAATTGAGAATATTCTAGCAATTTGATCCGAGACTTCATGGCAACGCTATTCATTGGTGAAATAATGGTAAAAATTAAAATTTGCTCTAAATTTGTGGTTGGTTTAGAAAATTCGTTTTAAGTAATTAATAGATCAGGGTATTAATTTTGACACTTCAAATAAAATCTAGATGAAAATTACTTGTTCAGTCCAATCTTGAAAATTACTGCTTTGTTCACATCATCACCTAATAGTCGTCATTAATTACTCATAATTATTACGTCTTGAAAATACGTTCGCTCATCTTCTTTTGTAGATAAATTATTCGGCACAAGCGAAAAAAGATACATACCTTACCTTGGCACATGCCTTGTCATCACAAATATATGAACTCATAATTGAAAACCTAAAGTTCGGTTACAAAGCATGAATCATAATTACCATTTATTAAATTTGTTTTCGACTTATTTTTAGTGTTTTGTTTGTAAAATTACAGTAGTATAAATTGATTTTCTTTTTAAAAAAATATCAACAACTTATCCTTTCATTCGGTATATTTTTGGTATTTCAACTGAAATTTTCTTTTGTAACTTCAATACAACTTGGATGAAGGATGAAATTATCCAGGTCACACCAGTCCAGGATTTTGGACGGTTTTGTCGTTTTTATTTGTAGACAAGTTTCATCGATTACTATGACCCCACCGAAGTTTTTGTTCTGATTGTGATATAGATATCGTTTATAAATTGAATTATTGAACCGTAGGTATCCACTTCGCAGCAGTCAATTTTAAACTTTTAAGTTTTAACAATTAATGCTTTACCGGATAACCAACAACATGTCCGTATCCAAAAAATTATTTATAAAATGTGTTAATCATATTGATATGATGATAAAATCGAATCATTGATGATTCATTGTACCGTAGTTAAAAAGTAATGACTGATTTTCGCTAAATGTTTTATAGTCAATTCTAAAAAAAACAGTTTGACATAATGTAGTTTAGTATAGATAATATACTTATATACATGTCGTGTGATTCTAGAAAAAAAAACACATGTATATCATATATATTTTTTTCTTAAATTTTGTTAACGGAATAAGTTTAATTCAAAATTTGAGTTTTCCCTGTTTAATATTTATAATTTAAACCATAAACACAAGTTTTAGTTTAAAAAAAAAACAGAGGATTATGAACTTGTGGATTTTGTATAAATTTACTCATAAATAAATATATGGACATATTCGAGCCTCGAGATGGCTCAAATAGCCACGTGCGATAAACACATGCGCTCACCGTTTTCCTATAAAATGGTGTACCACAAAGCTTAAGCTAAGCCTACACTTCAGTGAACCGTACCTAGTTAGATCACATTTGGTCTTTTGGCAAAAGAGAGATAGAAAATGGGATCTCATGTTGTTTGTAACACACAAAAACCACACGTAGTTTGCGTGCCTTACCCGGCTCAAGGCCACATCAACCCGATGCTGAAAGTGGCTAAACTCCTCCACGTCCGAGGCTTCCACGTCACCTTCGTCAACACCGTCTACAACCACAACCGTCTACTCCGGTCCCGTGGGGCAAACGCACTCGATGGACTTCCTTCCTTCCGGTTCGAGTGCATACCTGATGGTCTACCTGAGAATGGCGTGGATGCCACGCAGGACATCCCTGCCCTTTGCGAGTCCACAATGAAAAACTGTCTCGTTCCGTTCAAGAAGCTTCTCCAGCGGATTAACACCAGAGAGGATGTTCCTCCGGTGAGCTGTATTGTATCAGATGGTTCGATGAGCTTTACTCTTGACGTTGCGGAAGAGCTTGGTGTCCCGGAGGTTATTTTTTGGACCCCTAGTGCTTGTGGCTTCATGGCTTATCTACACTTTTATCTCTTCATCGAGAAGGGTTTATGTCCAGTAAAAGGTACGTTTTCTTGCATTAATTATTGAATTAATCGACGTTATAACATTAAAGTTCACGTAAGAACTCTTAAGACACCATGAGCTTGATGAGTTAATTATCATTTAAGAAGTCGTTCAGCAATTAGGCCAACATCACTCTCTAGATCACCTTGTTTGCAATTAGGCCTAGAAAGTGATGTTGGCCGAGAGAGTGGTACGAATGAAACTAGAACTCTTACTTAACCTAATATCAAAGTACAACCATTAAAGCTTAATGCAACAACACTATCACTATAACATATTACATCAAATTATGTATGCTAAGTTTGTGCATTAATTTTATAAATAAATATTGAGAGATTAAACAATAAAATAAAGTGTGATGGATTTTTCAGATGAGAGTTGCTTGACGAAGGAGTACCTGGACACAGTTATAGATTGGATACCGTCAATGAAAAATCTAAAATTAAAAGACATTCCTAGTTTCATACGTACCACTAATCCTAACGATATAATGCTCAACTTCATTGTCCGTGAGACATGTCGAGCCAAACGCGCCTCTGCTATCATTCTCAACACGTTTGATGACCTCGAGCATGACATAATCCGGTCTATGCAATCCATTTTACCACCGGTTTATCCAATCGGACCGCTTCATCTCTTAGTAAACCGGGAGATTGAAGAAGATAGTGAGATTGGAAGGATGGGATCAAATCTATGGAAAGAGGAGACTGAGTGTTTTGATTGGCTCGATACTAAGGCTCCAAATAGCATTGTTTATGTTAACTTTGGGAGCATAACAATAATGACCACGACACAGCTTGTGGAGTTTGCTTGGGGTTTGGCGGCAACGGGAAAGGAGTTTTTATGGGTGATGCGGCCGGATTCAGTAGCTGGAGAGGGGGCAGTGATTCCGTCAGAGTTTTTAGCGGAGACAGCGGATCGAAGAATGTTGACTAGTTGGTGTCCTCAAGAGAAAGTTCTTTCTCATCCGGCGATCGGAGGGTTCTTGATGCATTGCGGGTGGAATTCGACGTTAGAAAGTCTTTCATGCGGAGTTCCAATGGTGTGTTGGCCTTTTTTTGCTGAGCAACAAACAAATTGTAAGTTTTCTTGTGATGAATGGGAGGTTGGAATTGAGATTGGTGGAGATGTGAAGAGGGAAGAGGTTGAGGCGGTGGTTAGAGAGCTCATGGATGGAGAGAAAGGAAAAAAGATGAGAGAAAAGGCGGAGGAGTGGCAGCGCTTGGCGGAGAAAGCCACCGAGCTTCCATGTGGTTCGTCGGTGATAAATTTTGAGACGATTGTCAACAAGGTTCTCTTAGGAAAGGTCCCTAACACCGATCATAATTAATTGAAAACGTAAGATTATCATAAAAGTATACATATAATTATCAATAAGTAAATGCTTTTATTGTTTTCATCGTGTGTAATACTACCCCAGACTAGTAAAGTGGAAGATGACTATTGGTAAAGCAAAGTTTCTAATAACTAATAAGCATTGAAAGAAACTATATTGTTGACTTTTAGAAAGAAAAAAAAAAACAATTTTCTGCTACTCCATGGAGTGTTATAAAGTATCCAAATCGAACAGAGTTAGTATTAATCAAATTGGGTCAATATCATCTATCTTCTCTTGTTTTGCTCTGGTCTATGATCCAATAAATTACGGGTCCTTGATTTGGAATTCCTTAGATAGATATTTTAAAAATAAATATAAGGAGACCCCATAATAGAAATGAGATGGGAATTAGAATACATGGATCAGTTTATGCTAATTTATTTTAAACTTAAAACTCATAAAATTGATATAGTTATTAATCCAAGTAGGATATCCGAATAGAAATGTTGTCTCATATAATGAAGTTAGGTTCAAGATGGATTGGAAGGTCCCTTGACAAGGATCCCATATAAAATATAGTTTCATAATAAATTTCCTACTAACATAAAAAAAATCTAGATACAAAAAGTATATAGTATTATTTAAAATTTTTGGAAGAAACAAATAAACTAAAAATTAGATACATTTGTAACATTAGTTAAACTCTATCTCACCCTAAGAAACATTGCTTTCACGAATTATTGCCTTATAGGACCACTAGTTTGGCTTTTATTTGACCAACGTCCAAGTAGATCGATAAACATTTATCTTCTGGCTGGCAGTATATCAATTATACAAAGATCGCGAGATTGCTCATGCCCGGTGGTATAGGAAATCTTCGCACGTGGCAAAGATTTGTCGACAATCTCTACGTGCGAGAATTATGGTCTGGCCATCTCATTGTGGAGTCCTTTAACGCCTAGCGAAGTTGTTCCCAGATCAATCACATAGTTGTATATGTGTCCTGTTTGATAAGATCAATCACATACATATCCATCTTTCATTTTTTTTTTCTTTGGCATACGAGAAAAGAAAATGGCATCTCATGCAGTTTCTAGCGGAAAAAAACCACATGTAGTTTGTGTCCCTTTCCCAGCTCAAGGACACATCAATCCGATGCTCAAAGTGGCTAAACTCCTCTATGCTAGAGGCTTCCATGTTACATTTGTCAACACCAACTATAACCACAACCGTCTCATCCGGTCACGTGGTCCCAACGCCCTTGACGGGCTTCCTTCTTTTCGATACGAGTCCATCCCTGATGGTCTACCGGAGACCAACAAGGACGTCATGCAGGATGTCCCTCTCCTTTGTGAGTCCACCATGAAAAATTGTCTAGCTCCTTTCAAGGAGCTTCTCTGGCGGATCAACACTACAGAGGATGTTCCTCTGGTGAGCTGTATTGTATCGGACGGTGTGATGAGCTTTACTCTTGATGCTGCGGAGGAGCTTGGAGTCCCAGATATTCTTTTTTGGACACCAAGTGCTTGTGGCTTCTTGGCTTATCTACACTTCTATCGCTTCATCGAGAAGGGGTTATCACCACTAAAAGGTAAGTACAAGGTTATTAACTTATTATTAATTTAATTAGGTTTTGATAAGTTATATTATTATTTCATTAATAATTTAAACCAGGGAATATGTATAGAATACATAGATGGACAATAGTTTAATTATTTATCCTTTATTTCCAATTTTTTTTAAACTATATATGATACCTAGAACCGAGGTACCTATAATATAGATAAGTAATCACTAATAAGTTATCATTTTCATTTTCTAGGCGTTTTTCTGTCATTGTTAGGGCGACCAGAAATTACTATTTCTTAATGTGAAATTAACTATAGTATTGATATAAATTAAAAGCATCGAAATTTGTATATAGTACGGGGATTTAATGTTTTTTTAGTAAATACTGAGATATTGAATTCTTACTTATAAAATGTTGGTGGATTTTGGCAGATGAGAGTTACTTAGACACAAAAATAGATTGGATACCATCGATGAGAAACCTAAGACTTAAAGACATTCCAAGCTTTATCCGTGCAACTAATCCTGAAGACATAATGCTCAACTATTTTGTCCATGAGGCCGACCGAGCCAAACGTGGTTCGGCTATCATTCTCAACACATTCGATAGTCTTGAGCATGATGTCATCCAATCTATTCAATCTATCATACCTCAAGTGTACACTATTGGACCGCTCAATCTACTTGTGAATCGGGAGATCGACGAGGAAAGTGAGATCGGACAAATGGGAACGAATATGTGGAAAGAGGAGATGGAGTGTTTGGATTGGCTCGATACTAAGTCTCCAAATAGCGTCGTTTATGTTAATTTCGGTAGCATAACAGTGATGAGTGCGAAACAACTCGTGGAGTTTGCTTGGGGTTTAGCAGCAACCGAGAAAGATTTTTTGTGGGTGATTAGGCCGGACTTAGTAGCCGGTGATGCGCCAATACTTCCGCCAAAGTTTCTATTAGAGACGGCTGACCGAAGGATGCTAGCAAGTTGGTGTCCTCAAGAGAAAGTTCTTTCTCATCCGGCAATCGGAGGGTTCTTAACGCATAGTGGATGGAACTCGACTTTGGAGAGTCTCTCCGGTGGAGTTCCAATGGTGTGTTGGCCGTTCTTTGCGGAGCAGCAAACCAATTGTAAATATTGTTGTGATGAATGGGAAGTGGGGATGAAGATCGGTGGAGATGTGAGGAGGGAGGAGGTTGAGGAGTTGGTAAGAGAACTAATGGATGGAGACAAAGGAAAGAAAATGAGAGAGAAGGCCGAGGAGTGGCGGCGCTTGGCTGAGGAAGCGACGAAGCATATGTGTGGTTCGTCGGAACTAAATTTTCAGATGGTCGTTGACAAGGTTCTTTTAGGGGGAGTAGAAAGACTACATGGAGACTACAATTTACTTTAAACATATGATCTTTAGAAAATTATGTTATGTTTAATGAAATAAATAAAATATTATTTCATATATAATGATAAACCATTCTATCTTTCTTTTTTTCAACAGTATATATTATATTATTATGTATGCTTGAATTCAAATAATAACGCAATAACATCACTAATCATTGGCCTTATTTTATGTTTTGGCTTGAGTGTTGAAATATGCCACTAGTTTTGACTTTTATTTCACCTACACACTTCAGTAAAATCTCACTTTTGAATAAAAAATATTATCCTTTGTTTGGCTCACACATAATAAATGCACAAATTCGGCCTCGAGATCGCCCATCCCACCTATGGGAAAAATCTTCACATGTGAAGCAGATCTTTCGAGAGTTCCCACGTGGGAAAATCATAATGTCGAGCCGACTCATTGTTAAATACCTTTCTATAAAACGGAGTCCTATAAGCGTAAAGGATTTTTTTTTTTTTTATTTTTTTATTTTTTTTTTTTTTTTTAAGCGTAAAGGATTCATTCCTATCAATCACAAATACAAATCTACTTTCATATTTTCTCGGCATAAGGGAGAAAGAAGATGGGATCTCATGTAGCCCAAAAACCACACGTAGTTTGCGTGCCTTATCCGGCTCAAGGCCACATCAACCCTATGATGAAAGTGGCTAAACTCCTTTACGCTAAAGGCTTCCATGTTACCTTCGTCAACACCGTCTACAACCACAACCGTCTCCTCCGGTCCCGTGGGTCTAACGCCGTCGACGGGCTTCCTTCTTTCCGGTTTGAGTCCATCCCTGACGGTCTACCGGAGATTGACGTGGACGTCACTCAGGACATCCCTACTCTTTGCGAGTCCACAATGAAGCACTGTCTCGCTCCGTTCAAGGAGCTTCTCAGGCAGATCAACGCCGGGGATGATGTTCCTCCGGTGAGCTGTATCGTATCCGACGGTTGTATGAGCTTCACACTTGATGCTGCGGAGGAGCTCGGTGTCCCGGAGGTTATTTTTTGGACAACCAGTGCTTGTGGCTTCTTGGCTTATCTTTACTACTATCGCTTCATCGAGAAGGGATTATCGCCGCTAATTGGTAAGTTTGTATTATAATATTATTATTGTTTGATTGACGATTTGATCCGTGTTTTTAATACTGATTTAAACCGTGTTATAATATTAAATTTAACGTAGAAACAAGACATCATGATATCATATATTTTACGTGTATATATAAAACAGACGAACCAGATTAGTTAAGGTGAACAAGTTGCTAGCTTTTATCTATATAAATTTCGTAACTGGAGTGCTAGTTTTTTTTTTCTTTCTTTTTTTCGCCATTGGAGTGCTAGTTATATATAGGATTTTGGACTTTACCAAAGAAGCCCGCATAGAGATCCCAACCACAAATTATTGTACTTATTATATACACCAAAAAAGAGGTCCACAATAGGGACACATGATAAATTTGAGAAAAAAAAGAAAAAAAAAAACTATCCATGAATTTGTATTTCCTCAAAAAAAAAAAAATCATTTCCATACTTTTGTACAAACCAAATACCGATAGTGAAAAAAATAATACAAACCAATAAAGAACAATGGTCATAAATTACGTCAATTTACACAAACTAATAAACTTTGTCAACAACACAAAGTATTATAGATTGGGTTAAAACTTATACATCGTCAAACCCAAACGGTTTCTATATATTAAAAACAAACTGTAAACCAGAACTTTCAATCGAATAAAGACGAATCCAGAAACAAATCATATCCTTTTAGGGTCTCGTATTAAAGTTAGAATAATTTAGTAGAAATGAGAAGAAAAGTTCAGAAGAAAAGAAAAGTTAATTTAGAAGAAAAGTTTCTTCTCACATATTAAAGAGAGAAGAATTTTTCTGTCTTCTTTTATTTTTTGAAGTTTTCAGCAGAATTTTTTTTATTCTCATTTCTTCTTGACTGGTAAAAATTCAGAGGAATAAATTTTCTTCACCTTTCTTTTCTTCTATTAGTACCAACCAGTCACACCCTTAGTTTGTTCGATTCTCCTATTTGAGACACTAAAAATCACAATGATTACGAAACATAACAGTCATATATGGTGGTTCCCTACCGAAAATATTTTTATTTTATTCTTTATAACTAGAAGTAGGATAACTTGCAAAAGGAAAAAAAAAAATCAAACTGAATAAATTAAAATAAAATTTAATTAAAATCCAAAAGAGAGCACATACTTGAAGAAAAGTAAACTCTAAGCAATTAGCCAAATACTCCATATACATTGTATGTAGACAACTTTTTGTCTGACATTGTTGACCTCTAAGAGCATGATTAAAGGCAAGTTCTTATAGAAATCTTAAACTTTTCTTAACATTTAATGCAATATATTTAATCAACTTTGTGCTTTAATGTTAAGAAACGTTTCTTAGCTAAGGAACGTTCCTTAGCTAAGAGTCTAAGAGCATATATGGACAAAAATTTTCAGAAATTAAGTTTAAAACATTTATGCTTTCTGTTATTTATGTTATAAATTCTATCTCATGTATGTTTTAATTTTTTTAATTTGCAACTATTATTAAATTTTCTATAATTATAAATTTTATTTTTATGTTAATATTTTTTTTCTAAGAACCACATGTTAAGAGCCTACCATTAATCACACAAAAATCTTAACTCAAAAATACTATCTCTTAACAATCACTTTTACACATATATTATTTAAATATTGCTAAGAGGCATTTCTAAGATACTACCAATAATCATGCTCTAATACCCTTTTCTGGCTCTGATAATTACACTATCAATGTAAATGCATCAACTATTGCATATTAATACGGTGCTTTGAATTAAGTAATCTTGAGATGATATTGAGTTATAAGTTATAAATAATATTATGGTGGTGGTGGGTTTGGCAGATGAAAGTTACTTGAACAAGGAACACTTAGACACAAAAATAGATTGGATACCATCGATGAAGAACCTAAGACTAAAAGACATCCCTAGCTTCATCCGAACAACTAATCCTGACGACATCATGCTCAACTTTATCATCCGTGAGGCTGACCGAGCCAAACGTGCTTCAGCTATCATTCTCAACACGTTTGATGATCTCGAACATGACGTTATTCAATCTATGCAATCTATTGTACCTCCGGTTTACTCTATTGGACCGCTACATTTACTTGAGAAACAAGAGATCAGTGAGGATAGTGAGATCCGACGGATGGGATCGAATTTGTGGAGAGAAGAGACTGAGTGTCTAGATTGGCTAAATACGAAAGCTAAAAACAGTGTTGTGTATGTTAACTTCGGGAGTATAACTGTGTTGAGCGCGAAACAGCTTGTGGAGTTTGCATGGGGTTTGGCTGCAACGGGGAAAGAGTTTTTGTGGGTGATCCGTCCAGATTTAGTAGCCGGGGATGAGGCAATGGTTCCACCGGAGTTTTTAACGGAGACGGCCGACAGGAGGATGTTAGCAAGTTGGTGTCCTCAAGAGAAAGTCCTTTCCCACCCGGCTATTGGAGGGTTCTTGACGCATTGCGGGTGGAACTCGACGTTGGAAAGTCTATGTGGCGGAGTTCCGATGGTGTGTTGGCCGTTCTTTGCAGAGCAACAAACTAATTGTAAGTTTTCTTGCGATGAATGGGAGGTGGGGATTGAGATCGGTGGAGATGTGAAGAGGGAAGAGGTTGAGGCGGTGGTTAGAGAGTTGATGGATGGAGAGAAGGGAAAGAAAATGAGAGAGAAGGCGGAAGAGTGGCGGCGATTGGCGAAAGAAGCAACGGAGCATAAGCATGGTTCTTCTAAATTGAATTTTGAGATGGTCGTTAATAAGGTTCTTTTAGGGGAGTAGACACTACATGGAGACAATAAATTATTATGAACCAAATATTTGTTTCAGTTCTTTCAATCGTCTTTGACGATATCCTAAATTATCATATTGGATTGACATCTCCTAATAAATCTATACTAATATTTGGGAAGTACATCCTAAGAGTCATAACTTAGATTTTGTAAGAAATTACAATATATGCCATTAGAGATTTCTAATTATAATCATTTTATTCTATTTCACTAATATATATTAACGAGTCAACGGGTCAAACGGGTTTAAAGATATTAAAAGATTTTGTTTATATAATACATAATTAATATAATTCGAGAATGTTATATACTAATCAATTCGAAAATGTAACACAATTATTAAAAATCCTATACTAATATACTAATATATTATTCGGAAATGTTATTGAAAATGTTATTCAAAATGTTATATAGTAATCCATTATTCGAACATGTTATAAAAAAATGTTATTGAAAATGTTAATGAAAATGATACATCATTGAAAACATTTTATATCAATCCAATTTATAAAAAATGCTATTTTGAATTATAATACTCATATAGTTCGAAAATGTTATTGAAAATGTTATTCAAAATGTTATATCCTATTATCCTATACTATTATTTGGGAGGTACATCCTATAAGTCGTAATGTTAATTTTGTAAGAAATTATAATATATGCCATTAGAGATATCTAATCATAATCATTTTAATTCCATGTCACTAACATTAACAAATTAATTAAAAACGGGTCAAATAACGAAAAACGGGTTTAAAGATCTTAAAGATATTAGGTTGTTATATTTTGTTTAGATATAAATTCGTAATCTTTGAGAATATATTCAGTTTCCCTAAAATCTTTGAGAATATATTCAATTTCCTTAAAACCCTTTATAAAAAAAAAGTTATAATAGTTGTTATATATTCTATATCGTTTTTTGTTTGGTTTTACGTTTTTTGTTTAGGTTAATCACGCATCAATATAATCAGCTATTCAGTTTCCTTAAAATCTTTTCTATAGATTGTCAAATCTCTTTGTTATATAATTTTGATCCTATATTCCAAATAATCTAGAATATACCTTTCTAAAATATTATCTAACTATTTTATGCTAATTAATATATTTCTGAATCTCCTAATTATCACAAACAATCTACAACTATAAATATCCATTTAGGTTTGACGTAGCTTTCTCACTGAAATCATCTCAGCACCATTCTCATATCCTACAATTAAAAATACAGCAGAAATGGCTATGGTTAGTCACTACACTCCTATTAACAACTTGAAGCCTGTCAAGACTTTTTGGGTATTCAAGTTAGTATACTTCATTCGTGGATTCATTTTACAAAAGGTTCTGGCATGTCTTTGGAAATGATTTTGACAGATGAGGCTGTAAGTACCATTAAAATTTTATACAATTCTCTTTGTAATATATGTGCCATAAGTTTTAAGTCATCTTATTTTAATTACAGGGTAACAAAATTCAAGTAGACATAAAAAAGGAACACATCAGCAAATTCCAAAGGTATGTTAAACCGTTTTTTTTTTCTTTTTTTTTAACCATGAAACTGGGCCCCAGAAACTTAATATAATCCATTAAAAAAATTAGACCCAATACAACTATTTTTTTGTTTATTCACAATCACACAATAAAATTATCAATACCTAATTGAACCAAAGAAATTGTTAATCTCATATAAAAAATACAAATATAATGCTGCTAAATATATTAAATTCTAAAATACAATATTTTCTCCTTCTTTAGTCAAATAAAATATATAACATTATACCCAAATAGTAATAAATATAAAATATTATGATATATTCCCTTTTATATTATACTATTATACTATATTATTTCTTATTTCTTCGAACAAAATATACAATTTAATTCATGAAAAATATTAAATCCCGTGCTGTATAGCACGGGTCATGATCTAGTTATAAAATATAGTTGTGTGTATGTGTGATGAACGATGAACGTTTATTTATATTCTATAAAATTATTTGTAAAATTAAATAGCATAAAATTTATCTGTGTCTAGCATGGATTTTTACCTAGTTTTTAATGAAAATACTTTATGTATTTTGTATTAAATTTTGTTTTGATAAAAAGTGTTTTATTTAATATAAATTTATGTAATGGTTTAAAATTTACTGTTCGGAAAATAATAGTTGTTTTCCTTAATTGTCTTTATACTAATAAATGATTAATTATTTGATTATTTTCTTTTTATCATAAATACAGGTAGAGTTATGATAGGTATTTTATTCAAATGAAATAGACAGAGCTAGTAATTGATAAAATTAAAAATACACCTTTACATGGCATAAAATTATTAACAAGTTACATCCTGTACATATAAACGCCTACCGACTATCGAGTCGTGTCCACTTCCATCACTATCTTTTTCTTGCTGAAGTTTAGAAAAAAAAAATGGCATCTCCTGCCGTCCGTAGCACACAAAAACCACACGTAGTTTGCGTTCCTCACCCGGCTCAAGGCCACATCAACCCGATGCTAAAAGTGGCTAAACTCCTCCACGCTAGAGGCTTCCACGTCACCTTCGTCAACACCGTCTATAACCACAACCGTCTCCTCCGGTCCCGTGGGCCCAACGCACTTGATGGCCTTCCTTCGTTCCGATTCGAGTCGATCCCTGATGGTCTACCGGAGACGGATGGAGATAAGACGCAAGATATCCCCGCCCTTTGTGTGTCCACGGAAAAGAACTGTCTCGCTCCGTTCAATGAACTACTCCAGCGGATCAACAATAGAGATGATGTTCCTCCGGTGAGCTGTATTGTATCGGACGGTGTGATGAGCTTTACTCTTGACGCAGCAGAGGAACTCGGTGTCCCAGAGGTTATTTTCTGGACGAACAGTGCTTGTGGTTTCATGACTTTCCTTCACTTTTATCTCTTCATCGAGAAAGGCTTATCTCCGTTTAAAGGTACTAATTGCTTTCTTAAATTAACACGCGGTGTACCGCGGGGCTATATTATTTTAAAAAAAAATTAAAATTTATTTTTAAAAAATTATCTATACATATAATTATTGTTTTGTTTGATTTAAATGTACATATATATGTATAGATATTATCTCGTAGTACATCTCGGGTCGATTTTTTATTACTAAAAATTTTAAATTTTAAGTTATATTTGTTTTGTGAATATTATTTATTTTCTTTAGTATTTAAAATTATATAATTGTATTTGATTGTTAATTATAGGATTTCATCCATAGTATACCGTCCCGTATTAATATCGACCCAAACATGTCTCACCATATAACCCCATCCCGTGAAATTAAACATCATTTTGTTATATATTTTTTTAATCTATATTTACATTTTTGGAGTCGTTAGAGATATATAGATTAGGAATATCAAAATGATAATTTGGTATTAATTAAATGTTCTCAAAAATCTCGTAGGTAAGATTTTAGAAACTAACATTTGAGTTAATATAGAGATATTTTGGCAATATTGTTATACGGCAAATTTTAATCTTTAAATATAAAAAAAATAATTAAATACAGTGGCATGGACTCGTAAATACATCCCAACTCTAGGATTTATTTACTAAATGTACTCCAAAAATGTATATATAGATTGATTTTAATTCACATAGTTAAAAGGGAAAATATCCCTTAATAATGCATTGGCTAATTTAACTATCTTTGGGCCAATAACCCATTCTAGTTCTTGAATCTTGATTAACCGATTTACACTAGCAAAGTCGTGTTTAATAGATTACTAATAATATTGGTGGTGGATTTGATAGATGAAAGTTACATGTCTAAGGAGCATTTAGACACGGTTATAGATTGGATACCATCAATGAAGAATCTTAGGCTAAAGGACATCCCAAGCTTCATCCGTACCACTAATCCTGACGACATAATGCTCAATTTCGTCATTCGAGAGGTGGAGCAATCCAAACGCGCTAGTGCTATCATTCTCAATACGTTCGATGATCTCGATCATGATCTTATACAATCTATGCAATCTCTTCTTTTACCTCCGGTTTATTCGATAGGACCGCTTCATCTCTTAGTGAACAATGAAATTGATGAGGTTAGTGAAATAGGACGGATGGGATTAAATTTGTGGAAAGAAGAGACAGAATGTTTGGATTGGTTGGACAGTAAGACAACTCCAAACAGCGTCGTTTTTGTTAATTTTGGATGCATAACGGTGATGAGTGCAAAACAGCTTGTTGAGTTTGCTTGGGGTTTGGCAGCAAGTGGAAAAGAGTTTTTATGGGTGATCCGGCCGGATTTAGTTGCCGGAGAGACGACGGTGATTTTGTCAGAGTTTTTAACGGAGACGGCAGACCGGGGAATGCTGGTGAGTTGGTGTCCTCAAGAAAAAGTCCTTTCCCACCCAATGGTTGGAGGATTCTTGACGCATTGCGGGTGGAACTCGACACTCGAAAGTATTTCCGGTGGTGTTCCGATGATATGTTGGCCGTTTTTTGCGGAGCAGCAGACAAATTGTAAGTTCTGTTGTGATAAGTGGGGAGTTGGTATCGAGATTGGTGGAGATGTTAAGAGAGATGAGGTCGAGACGGTGGTTAGAGAGCTCATGGATGGAGAGAAGGGAAAGAAAATGAGAGAGAAGGCGGTAGAGTGGAGGCGCTTGGCGAATGAAACGACGGAGCATAAGCATGGTTCCTCGGTTCTGAATTTTGAGACAGTTGTGAGCAAGGTTCTTTTAAGGGAGTAGAGACTAGAGACTACAAGGAGACTGTTATTTTAAAAATATAAGATGGTTTATATATATAAAAATATGTTATACTATAACTCTGGACGAGTATTTGTTTTCAGATTTTTCAAGCGTCTGTGGTGATAACCTACATGATTTTGCACCAAAATGTAAAATTGCGTCAACCAATCAATAAGAAAATCGTTCATCCGTGGTTGAATATATACAAAATTTGTTGTAAAAGATAAACCAATATTACATTTGCTAAGCTTATAAATTTCACTCATTAATACAAAAAATCGGCCTCGAGATCTTCGCATGTGACACTGACACATATCTTTCGTTATTCCCACGTGCGAGAATCATAAGGTCTCACCTACTCATTGTCAATTATCTTTCTAAAACGAAGACCTTTATAAGCCTATCAATCACATATACAAGTCCACTTTCATTTTTACTCGGCAAGAGATAGCAAGAAAATGGAATCTCATGTTGTTCTTAACACACAAAAACCACACGTAGTTTGCGTCCCTTACCCGGCTCAAGGCCACATCAATCCGATGCTGAAAGTGGCTAAACTTCTTTACGCTAAAGGCTTTCACGTCACCTTCGTCAACACCGTCTACAACCACAACCGTCTCCTCCGGTCCCGTGGCCCCAACGCACTCGACGGGCTTCCTTCATTCCGGTTCGAGTCCATCCCTGACGGTCTACCGGAGACTGATGGCGATAGGACGCAGCATACTCCTACCGTTTGCATGTCCATTGAGAAAAACTGTCTCGCTCCATTCAAGGAGCTTCTCCTACGGATCAACGATAGAGATGATGTTCCTCCGGTGAGCTGTATTGTATCGGACGGTGTGATGAGTTTTACTCTTGACGCAGCGGAGGAACTTGGTGTCCCAGAGATTATTTTTTGGACCAATAGTGCTTGTGGTTTCATGACTTTTCTACACTTTTATCTTTTCATTGAGAAGGGTCTATCTCCTTTTAAAGGTACTACTTATATAATCATATATAGTTAAAAGTAAAACATTTTTAGTTAATGCATTTAGGCAAACACTTTTATCTTTTACTTACATGTCTAATAATAAATGGTGTATTGGACAGATGAAAGTTACATGTCTAAAGAGCATCTAGACACAGTTATAGATTGGATACCATCGATGAAGAATCTTAGGTTAAAGGACATCCCTAGCTACATCCGTACCACAAATCGTGACAACATAATGCTAAATTTCCTCATTCGAGAGGTCGAGCGATCCAAACGGGCCAGTGCTATCATTCTCAACACGTTTGATGAACTCGAGCATGATGTTATACAGTCTATGCAATCTATTGTACCTCCGGTTTATTCGATTGGACCGCTTCATCTCCTAGTGAAGGAGGAAATTGACGAAGCTAGTGAAATAGGACGGATGGGATTAAATTTGTGGAGAGAGGAGACAGAATGTTTGGATTGGCTCGATACTAAAACTCCAAATAGCGTTCTTTTTGTTAACTTTGGATGCATAACGGTGATGAGTGCAAAACAGCTTGAAGAGTTTGCTTGGGGTTTGGCGGCAAGTGGGAAAGCGTTTTTGTGGGTCATTCGACCTAACTTAGTTGCGGGAGAGGCGATGGTGGTTCTTCCGCCAGAGTTTTTAGCGGAGACGGCAGACCGAAGAATGTTAGTGAGTTGGTGTCCTCAAGAGAAAGTTCTTTCTCATCCGGCGATCGGAGGGTTCTTGACACATTGCGGGTGGAATTCAACGTTGGAGAGTCTTTCCGGTGGTGTTCCGATGATATGTTGGCCGTGTTTTTCGGAGCAACCGACGAATTGTAAGTTTTGTTGTGATGAGTGGGGAGTGGGTATAGAGATTGGTAGAGGTGTGATGAGAGAGGAGGTTGAGACGGTGGTTAGAGAGCTTGTGGATGGAGAGAAGGGAAAAAAACTGAGAGAAAAGGCAGAAGAGTGGCGGCGATTGGCCGAGGAAGCGACGAAGCATAAACTTGGTTCGTCGGTCATGAATTTTGAGACGCTTATAAATAAAGTTTTCTTAGGAAATCTTAAAACGTTAAAATTCTAATGCGGTATTTAATCACAATTATTATGTGATCATGTAAGTGGTAGATTGCTATAGAATAACTTTAGCATCATAAGTTTTTTTTTCTTTTTCACAAATTGAGTTTTTTTCTTCTTAACGTAGAAGTACAATAGAAGATTAAAAAAAATAGTCGAATTTATTCTAAAATAATTGAAAGAATATGAAAGTCGACATATTATATTATTCCGTTAGGAAGAAGAAGAAGAAAAAAACATGACTAAAGTCGATAGATAGAGCCATCTTTATTTTGGCAGTCATGTTAAGTCATGAATGTGGTTGAGAAAATATAAACGAATTAGCTTTTTTTTTGGTTGGATGACGAGAAAGAGAATGTAAAAAAATGTCAAGATTGTACAAATTGAGGCAGTTGATCATGATTCATGACGATGACGTTAAGTCTCTGGTGTTCGTGGTTGTACTTTCAGGTGCATCCGTTGGATCGAATTCTCCACCTTCTTCTGATACTTGTTGTGGTGCGTGTGATTCTGAAGAGAAAAAAGATCCATAACGTAAAACCTTTTTTTAAACATAAATACATAGTCAATCCACACATAGAAGTTATTTGTTTGGTGGCCCCTCTACAAATAAGTTTGGATAATTGCTTAAATAGAGAGTGGTCCCTTGTGAGTTGTGTGACTAGATCTTGAGAATCAATAATATAAAAGGGTGACAGAACTCACATGCAAACACTATTGGTTTATGAAATTTACATATACATATATAAATATGCATGACCCATGATGGAGGATAGACAGATGTGAGGAAAAAAAAAACAGACAGCTCAGTTCACATGGACATGACGCAATTATATATATCCCATGTGCCCAATCATTCACTCTTTTTGGTATTCCATTTAATCTTCCGTACTATATAATTCAATCTCACTAGCTCTTGTTTCTTACAAAACTTAATTGGTTAGTACTTAGTGGTCGTGAATCTTGTTTTGGTGATGAATGCAATTTGTACAATGGACATGCATGGTGGTTATAAGACTTACCAGTGGAGGAAGATAGTGGCCCTTGGGAAATGGGGGCATTAGATGAAGTAGGAGCCTCGACATTGGATGGGTAAATTAGGTAAGAAGAAGCAGAAGGTAAACGTTGTTGTTGTTGTTGTTGCTGCTGATGATGATGATACTGATAATGTTGTTGTTGATGATGAGGATATGGTCTAGGGCTTGGAGCTTGAAGGTAGTAATAAGGGGAAGGCATGATGTTGGATGATGATGGTGATGTTGCTCCTCCTCCTCCGTACATTTGCTGTTGATAGTATTGTGCCTGTTGGAGCTGTGCGTTGTATAGGGCCTGCATGTAACTTATATGTTTTATTAATATATCACCAACCTGAACACAATAATTAATGATAATCTTTGAGTACATTATTTTATGATTCACTCTATTTCTTCTACGTCATTAACATAGAATTCCCTACACATTTTACCACTCTAAGGAAGTTTTCTAGGTACTACTAATTCCAACATTCACAGACGCTAGAAGGATACGACATTTTCCTAGTAGATGTCTATACTAATATACAATTGCTTGAATTGCATGTTTGTAATTGTATATGTATGTCATATGGAGAGGGAGAGAGAGAGACTGACTTGGTGGTACCCATATTCAGAATTGTAGGTGTACCTGAAAACAAAAGAATTTAATGATGCTAAACCAATTAGTCTATATATTCACCAAAATACAAAAAACCTAATTATCTTACCTAGACAAATTTAGTGCATGCAAATTTCACCGAGACCTACATGACATATTTCACTATTATTGTTCTATTGCAATGTTGGTCCGGCTAATCTTCATGATATAGATATACTTTTTATATGACAACTAGCTATATAGTCTATAAGTATTTATATTTTGAATATTTACAGGCTGACTCCAACTTGCGCAAATTGAAGCATTAAATATCATCTTCTGTCTCTTACCATTTCTATCACATTGGACCATTTCATTGTCTAAGCAAAATTTATAAATTTCTTTACACACTTTGGTATTAAATAAAAAAAACCATTATTTTTCTCTTTAAATCATTTAGCGTACGTACCCGTATGACGGATACATGAGCTGGGCAGTCGCAGCCTGCTGCACCGGAGCAGCCATTCCGGTGTAGCTTGATTGTCCTCCGCCTTGATACTGACTCGGGCTTCCTCCTTGTCCTCGTCCTATACACCATCAAAGAGTAATAAAAAAGTTTTTATATAAAATATATATTATTACATTGCTAATAACATTCTTGAACAATGTAGCATTTTTCCTTGTATACATATCATAGAAATTCCTTAAAAAAATTATGAAGATAGAAAAACTGACTAATAATATATCCAATTAAAGACAATTTTTTTTTTTATAGAGATACGATTAAAAACAAAAACAAAAAAATATTATTCATCATCGTATTCGTTTTTATCATTTCCTCAAAACAATATATGGATTAGTCCCATCAAATAATTCAGCCAAATGGATAAAATTTTTAAAGAAAAGTAAGTAGATCAATGAGAAGATCATTAAAGTTCACATTTCAAAGAAAAATGAATTGAGTTAACCAACCTCGAGGCGTCGATGGTCGTGGCCGTCCAAAAGACGCAATATTGCAATTCGCCTTTCGTCCATCGATCACCGGATTCGGATCAGCGACGGCTCTCGTCGCTGAATCCGACTCTCGAAACGTGACCTGGACCACAGAGATGATGACGTGTCAAACCTTGAGAATCTTTAAAATGGTGGGAGATAACGGAAGAAAAGAACTTACAAAACCATAGCCTTTAGATTTTCCGGTGGTCTTATCGGTAATGATGACGGCTTCAAGAATCTCTCCGAACTGATCAAAGTAACGGCGCATTTCATCGGTCGGAGTCTCCCATGCTAAACCTCCAACGAACACTTTGGTGTGGGTCGTGTCTCCGAACGGTGATCGGTAATAGCTTGTATTAGACATATATGATTGTGATGATGATGGTTTGTGATGATATACACCGATAACAAAAATGGATTGAATAAATTTAATGAATGAATATATGAAAATGGGGTCTGTCTAATTAAAACATGAGCCAAGAAAGAAAAGAAGAAAAAGATTGTAAATGAGGGAAAGTTAGCTTCTTTATATCGTCAAATGCCAAAGAAACGACTTTTTCATTTTCCTCTCTTATTTTTTTTGGTTGCAAATTGAAACTCTTAAACGGTACCGTTTTAGCCTCTGACCCTACACTTATATATATATAGAGAGAGAGACTTGGTAAGTTAATGTAAGAAGGAATTAGATTTTCTTTGGGGTTTTGTAAGAGTGACAAGGCAAGCACTGAGTATGTCTTCGCTGGCTATAACTTGCCAGGTTTTAACATTATAGCTCTTCCACAACTTTTTCCCTCTCCATTAAAATACCTTCTTTAACGTTTTTCTAATAATATAGTGATTATGGTAGATGATTATCCGTAAACTCATTATGGTATTATTCCGAGTTGATACAGAATTTTTACTAATCACATAAGTTGTTTGAAATCAGGTTTTTTACTTCACAATTTCAAAGTCAACGAGATATATATAAAGAGTAAGATCAAACCCTATTGGAGATAATTATTTTTCTTAGTTATTCCTAACCAAATGTAAAGTAAGTACAGTGTGTATCAAAGATTAGATAAGGATGATTATGCTAATCGGATTTTTGTGACTTTATTGATTATAATTATAGTGGAAGTCCATTGTTATATCCACCAAGCCATAAAAAGTAAAAAAATTGGTGAAAAGATAGAATGAGTATATTTCACTGTAGAGATTTCTCATCCCTCGTTTACAAAATTGACTATTGTATATTAGACTATAAAAAGACGGCAATATATAGCTAGCTATATACATATGAGTAGCTAGCTATAAAAAATAATAGAAATACATATTCAATTGTTTTACTTAGTACAAAGCGTAAAATTGAATGGAGAGTTTGATATGAATCAACTACATACATATTTTGATCGTTTTGATGTGATTGTATAATTATGTCCACTTGAATTCGAAGAGTGAATTACTTATGATATGAAGTTAGAGAATCCACCTAACTACGTTTTAATTCATGATTAGGTAATTTTATTTATCAATTTAGCAACAAAAAAAAAGACTATTATAAACTGAAAGCTAAAACTTATCATCTACACACACACACACACAAAAGTAGGTGAATAACTATTATGAAATTATATGGAGTTGAAGAAATATATATGCGTTCATAACGTTCATGTAAACATAGTAAAAAGAGTTAAATAAGGGTTTAGACATGAATATGTAAATGTAGTTGTAAAGGGTTATCTAAATATGTGAAAGTGGAGAGCAAAAGAATTGAGAAGATCACATGAAATGAGCAGAGAAACCAGCTTTTACATAGTCCCCCGCACGCATGCATCCACCAAATAACGACCATCCCTCCTTTTTATCTCTAAGCAAAATAATATTATTAAACCCCACTGTCATCTATTTCACTCCTAGTATGCAATTATGTATTGAGCAACATATGTGTAGTTGACCAATAAAAAGTATGTTTACGTTTTCATTGGTCTACTAAAACTGGTTTTGTTAAAAGTAATGTGAATCATGGACATATAAAATGGCTGAATATTTAAGAGAAATTTACATGAAAATAAGTATAAGAAAAAAAAGAGAGAAAGGTTGGGCCAATTTTGGCCAGCATGGCAAAAAAGGAGACAACTGGAGTTGGAGTTTAAAGAAGAAACAGAAGAGAATCCGTGAACTGGCATATCCCTCCACGTGTATCTCTCCTTCTGTCATTCTTCTCTCTCTCCATTATCTAATCTTATTTAGCTGTCCCTCTCTCTCTCTTTTACACAAAAACAAATTTGGTCATGATTAGAAAGCCCACAAGAAACATTTTCAATCTTCTTCTGAAAACTTCAGCATATTGACATGGTAACAAAAAGATGATCAAAGTAAATTGAACAACTAGTGATATTTGAGTATTAAAATAGTATAATTAGCTATATATAGCAAAGGGGTGGTGGCGCAGTTGGCTAGCGCGTAGGTCTCATAGCTACTGAGTGATCCTGAGGTCGAGAGTTCGAACCTCTCTCACCCCATTTCTTTTTTTTCTTCTTTCAAAAAACCCATGGAAGCCCATACGTGGGACTGTAACGTTACTGATGCGTTAGCGTTACAAAGGCCGAAGCAAATGATGATTTATGGGATATTTTGTGATTTTGTTGGTCAAGAACCAAACCCTATATGACCCATTATAGGCCCATTTACTATTATTCTATGTTGTACAATCGTCGACACGTTTCTTATTTGGCGATTGCACTGATCATGTTCTAGATTACATGCAATCAGTTACTTTTTTTGAACCGGCAAGATTACATTAACCTTGCAAATCAATTCAGAATTCTACATTCATGAGAGAGGTTTATTTCTTAATCAAGTTAATTTCACTAAAAATGAGCTCAATTCATTGAAATCAATTGGTATAACCGGTTTAATTGAAAATTTTATAAAACCGAACCGAAAAGAAAAGAGCAGAGTCTAATCGAGAATTAAAAAAGCAAAAGCGAAGGTACACTGAAGTTATCGGAATTTGCATCTTTTTGAAACCGTCTTTTTGATTCCGCCGTTTGCGTCTGACGTGTTCACGGCGGCAACCTCCATGGACAACGGTGACCACGGAAACAACCACCACAACTTCCACGATGGTGCTGATAACCGTTTATCAGCCGAATCTTTGCCGTTAATCGATACGCGTCTCTTATCGCAGTCAGAACTTCGCGCTCTCTCTCACTGTTCTTCTCTATCTCCATCTTCTTCAGCGTCTCTCGCTACTTCCGCTGGTGGAGACGACGATTTGACACCAAAGATCGATCGCTCCGTTTTCAATGAGTCCGCTGGTAGCCGGAAACAGACATTTCTCCGTCTCCGCCTTGCGCGTCACCCTCAACCACCGGAGAAACCTCCTTCGCCGCAACGTCGCAGAGACGATTCTTCCCTAGAAGAACAAACGCAAGTCGCGTCGCTTCTCAGATCTCTGTTCAATGTCGATTTGATTCAGAGTAAAGAGGAAGAAGACGAAGGAGAGGAAGAAGTCGAGGAAAACGAAGGTCAGATCCATTATCACAGCTATGTTTATCAGAGACCGAATCTTGATTCGGTTCAGAACGTTCTGATTCAGGGAACCTCCGGGAATGAAATCAAGAGGAAGCGAGGACGGCCGAGGAAGATTCGGAACCCTAGCGAGGAAGAGACGGAGGTTTTGGATTTAACACGTGAAGCATCTGCGTATGTGTTTGTAGATAAAACTAGTAGCAATTTGGGAATAGAGAGTAGATTTGGTAGTTCAGGAATCTCCATGGATTCAAATTCTGTGAAGAGAAAGAGAGGTCGTCCTCCAAAGATTAAGGAAGAGATAATGAAATTGGAGAACAGAGACAGTGCAATTGTGAATCTTTCTGCATTGGATAAGGAAGAGTCAGTGAAATTGGAGAACAGAGAAGGTGCAATTGTGGATCTTTCTGCATTGGCTAGTGTTTCAGAGGATCCATATGAAGAGGAGCTGAAGAGGATCACTGTTGGGTTGAAGACAAAGGAAGAGATCTTAGGTTTCTTGGAACAATTGAATGGTGAATGGGTGAATATAGGGAAGAAGAAGAAAGTTGTGAGAGCTTGTGATTATGGAGGATACTTGCCCAGAGGATGGAAACTTATGCTCTACATAAAAAAGAAAGGTAGCAATTTGTTGCTGGCTTGTCGCAGATACATAAGGTATAATAATGTTAGTCTTCTTCACTGGTTTTGTTTCTAGTTGGATTATTAGATAGACCTGGTATTATTGGTTATGGCAAAGAATAGTAACTAATATTTTAGACCATTGGAGATTTAGTTTTATGGATTCATGAATAGGATTTGGTATATGATGGTGTTTTAGCTCTGCGGCTAGACTTTTGATTGTCCTTCTTGTTAGTTTCTCTATATTCTTGAACTTGATACAACATGTTTACAATAATTAAGGGCTGCTACTGAAATTGCTTATCGTTAGTTTGTGTATGTATTATTTGCCGTTCCAGGATTCTAGCTGCTGTTCATGAATCTGAATTTTTCTCTTTTTCTTTTTGATTATATATAAGCCCTGATGGGCAACAGTTTGAAACCTGCAAGGAAGTCTCCACATATCTGAGATCTCTTCTTGAATCCCCAAGCAAGAACCGACACTATTACTTGCAATCTGATAACAAGACTCTAGGACACCAACCAGTGACAGCTAACGATTCTTCACTAGGTAACTCTGATTCCATGGACTTGCCTGTTCCGGACTCTGAAACAATGCAGTACCTTGAGAGTGGAAGAACCGGCAGTGAGGTGTTTGAGGAAGCGAAAGTCGTAGAAAATAGTGATGAAGCAGATGGAGTGAAAACCAGTCTGGTGGAGAAAGATGCTAATGCTGATTTTCTGAATGGAGACGACAACGACCATACGAAGAAAAGAGATGGTAACATGGAGAATTTGGCAGCTCTATCGAAAGCCATGTTGATGCCGACTGATGAGCTTCAACAGTATTTCAACTCACAAATCCACTGAGTTCAGTGACCAGTTCCTTTACCTGGAACAAAATGTTTTCTCATTCTAGTTCAGATTTTATGTTACATGCACAAACTAAAGCACGTTTTAGCTAACTACAGGATATAGAATTTGAAAAGGTCCATGTACAAAACAATTGTCAGAAACCAAATTTTTTCTTAGAGATAAAAAGAAAAATTCATTGAGTTTCAATCTATGAGATTGATTTGCATTTTGTATTGTATTAAAGAAAAGAACAAACCCTTAAAATATTGGACAAGAGGACATGTCTTTTTCACGTCAGCGTCGTTATCCTTTTACGTTACTGACTAGCCAAATTCGATGGGGTTTAACAAACAACAACTATTAGTTTTAGGTTCTTTCTGCGTAAAAAGAAAACCTTTGAGGCTACTTTATAATTTATAAAACTTAAGTTTTGTTGACTAAAAAAAGTAGATCCAACGGCCAATATATGGTCACCATGAGAGGATCCTAGGGTTACTACTAATCTCGAAATCAATCAAATCAAAGCATCCATTTTTTTGATTCAGACTTGAGAGAGACAGAGAAAGAGAAGAAGAAGAAGAAGAAGAAGAAGAAGAAGAAGAAGAAGAAAAAGCTATGGAGAATGAGAGGGAAAAGCAGGTTTACTTGGCTAAGCTCTCTGAGCAAACCGAAAGATACGATGGTACGTTTTTCGATTTCTGGATCTCTGTTTTGGAAAAATGATTTGTTCATGTTTCTGAAAAATCCGATCTTTTGTTTCTCCGATCGAATGAATATATGAATGTTTTTGGGTCTAATTAGATTTGGTTTTACATTTCCGTAGATTTTCTTTGTAGCCCTTTACGGATTTGTGTGTTTCTGGGCTGTTACTTGATCTGGATTTAGAGATTTAGATGAGACCTTCAAGTAATTTCTTGTTTGATGTTGTTTAAGTTCTCTGATCAGTCATGATCTTATGTTGATATATACTTTTGTGGAATCTCTTAGCTTTTACAAAGGTGGCTAGTATGAAAATGAAATAGATCTATGTTGTTTTTCACTCTCTGTAAGAAATCATCTTTGCTTTTGGTTTTGGATATTTTAAAGTTTGATGCAGAAGAATGGAAAAGATTTCTACTTTTTGTTTTTTGTGATTTATGTTGCGTAGTTAGTTTGGTCCATGTTTTCTGTTTAATGTTTTCAGTACTCAATAATTTTGAAATTGTTGTTGCAGAAATGGTGGAGGCGATGAAGAAAGTTGCTCAGCTTGATGTCGAGCTAACTGTGGAGGAGAGAAATCTTGTATCTGTGGGGTACAAGAATGTGATTGGTGCAAGGAGAGCTTCATGGAGAATACTATCCTCCATTGAGCAGAAGGAAGAGTCCAAGGGAAATGAGGAAAATGTCAAGAGGCTTAAGACTTATCGAAAGAGAGTTGAAGATGAGCTTGCCAAAGTTTGTAATGACATCTTGTCCGTCATCGATAAGCATCTCATTCCATCGTCTAACGCTGTGGAGTCAACTGTCTTTTTCTACAAAATGTGAGTCATCTTATGCTTTTTTATACTCTGTCCATTTTTCCATCACAAATGTGATATTATCCATTTGACTGAAGTTAAATGTTTAAGCTCTTACATAGCTAGCACTCTTACTTATGTTTCTTCCTAAAATGATGATGATCCATGAACTTTTTGCCCCCTATTTGTTTCACTGATTTGTCTTTACGCGTTTGTTCTTTCTATGTAGGAAAGGAGATTACTATCGCTATCTGGCAGAGTTCAGTTCTGGTACTGAACGCAAGGAAGCTGCAGATCAGTCTCTTGAAGCATATAAGGTCCTTTGATCATGTTTATTTCTTTTCTTATTTTTGTGCCTTCCCTCTTATATGTGAGCTCGGAATAACCTAACACAAGTCTTGCTTTTTCGTACTGGCAATGTAGGCTGCTGTTGCTGCTGCAGAGACTGGTTTGGCACCCACACATCCAGTTAGACTTGGCTTGGCATTGAACTTTTCAGTTTTCTACTATGAGATCTTGAACTCTCCCGAAAGGTTTGTTTTGTATTTTGGATTGAACATAATAGTGGAATCGGTGGTCACTTTCTGACAGTCTGAAACTATGTGTTGTACAGCGCATGCCAATTGGCTAAGCAAGCATTCGATGATGCAATTGCTGAACTTGACAGCCTCAACGAGGAATCATACAAGGACAGCACTCTTATTATGCAGCTACTTAGAGACAATCTCACCTTGTGGACTTCAGACCTCAATGAGGAAGGAGGTAATCTTAATTTCTTTTGTTTCCCTCTCTGCCTCTAATGATCAAATAGTTTCCTTAGAATCAAATGAGCCTTTTGTGAATCTTGTTCGTTCTTGAACTGTTAAGAGCCTCAACTTTGAGTAAAAGTGTTGATATGTTGATGCTTAGGAACTAGTAACATTAACCATCTGTCTAAATTTGAATTTAACCATCCTTTATATATTTATGGCTTTGTAGACCTTTCATTTTAGTTTTGAAAGCGTCTACGAAATAGAAAACGCATAGTAGTTTGATTCTAGCTAATTTTTGTAGAAGTTATATGTTTGTAGCAGAGAACAGTAGCATACTAATTTCTTGTTTCTCTTCAAAAGCTTTTTCACTCAACATTTTTTCTTTTTCCTTCTTAGATGAGCGATCCAAAGGTGCTGATGAGCCTCAAGAAGAGGTATGAAAAGCCAGTTTTGTTATAAGCTATGCTACTTAAATGATTTTCCATTTGCATTGACAATTAGACACTCATGGAATTACTGAATCATTGCAGAACTAAATCCTGGATCCCCGCTATGTGAGAAGAGAAACGGCTCTTGCTGCATCCTGAATCTTGAAGTGGAAGACAGTAAGCGTCGTTACTCTCGGATGTGTAATTTTAATTTATGTCTTTCATCTTTCCAGCACACAAGACTGCGTATCTTCAACACTCTTATGATGTGGTTGGAGTCTGTTTTTACGCTTAGTTTGCTTCTTTGCTTTGTTGTTGAATTGAGCCACCAGGCATGATTTGGGTTTTGTTTTATCAGAATATTAGGAGTATCATCGTTACAAAAATCAAAACTAAAACTGACGAAGCTTTATTCTAGCTTCTCTAATAACTCTATTGCAAATGTCATGAAAGTCTGAAATCAAGAGGCTCTAGTTTAATTTGCATACCAAGTGATATCCTAATGTTTCAACTTGATAATTTGTGGATGTTACACCTGTAACCATATGCTATCACAGACTCACCAACTCGCACCTAACACCCATTGTGTTTAAACCAATCGAGAGAGCCTTCGAAGTCAAATTGTGAACCCAATCCTTATAGAATCAGTCGTCCTTAAATCTGCCAAAAGATGCGTCTCTTCCACGATCGTAGCTACTTTTTGTACAACTAAAATTGTTTTGTCATCCATCAACAATCAAAAGCACTATTGAAATTAAATTTCTGTTGGAATAAATGTACCAAAGAGAGGGATATATAAGAGCAGAGAATGAAATAAGTGAAGATCCCTCTACTATTGGATTCAACATAGTTAACTGATCCATCGTATTTTTTAATCCTTTGAAGGATAATGACATTTACCTACAACAATAATGATAAAGATAACTTTTGTTTGGCAATGTAAATCTCATCATACATATAGCAAATACTTTGGTTAAACATATATATGCAAACCTAATCCAAAAGTACTTTCACATGATTTTAAAACATCCTAATATTTATATCTCGATGATTAAATATAACAAATCAACCAATTATAATAACACAAATCCCCCAACACCACTACACCACCCACCAACTCCATTTCCCTCTCTCCTTTTTTTTTGTTCATATTCTTGTCGTCTTTAAAAACACACAATTTACACAACGAACGCACATAAGCTATAGCAAGAAGCAGCTATCACAAATCGAAACTTAGACCGGTCCAAACCGGACCAGAATCATCTGACTCGAATCCTGTGAAAACAAGCTTTTTGTCCTGATGAATCTTTGATTGAAAATGCTGGTTTATTATATTAGGAACCATCTCCTCGTAAGTATTCTTTCAGAGTTTGTCATCTGAATCGGACCACGACACAAGATATGTCGTCTTTACTCTCTCTTCTCAATGCTTCAGCTGTTAATTCCTTTGCTGCTTTCTGTGGATCTTTCACTCTTCTAGCTATCTCCATTGCCTCTTCATTTGTCATTACCTGTTAACATCATTTCAGTAATCAGAAAAAAATGGTCTCATAACACTTAGTTAACAAGAGATGAATAGTTTCATCCGAGAGCAGAATCGATCTTCTATTGTAATATATACAGAGAATATGCCACTACCTTCCAAATGCCATCACTGGCCAAGAGAAGAACATCTGTCTGGCTATCTACAATAGCTTCTTTTATGTCAGGTTCTGAACTCAGGTGTGTCTTAAGTCCCTTATCTCCAAAGGCACGAGACACAGCTAACTGACCATTCACCCGAGGAACATCACCTGTTATTAGATCACAACCACATCATCCTTATCAACAATCATTCGATATAATCAACTGAACAAAACAAATGATTAAAGACACACTGTATCAAATCAGTTCTTTACCTGGTAGATTGGATACAAATCCACCTCTATCTTCAATGCTCGACCTTTCAGTACGAGGCTCATGATCTGTACTCATCTGCGTTATTGTGCCACCTTGAGAAAGAACTGCTCGTGAATCGCCAACATTGGCTATCCACAACTTTCTCCCATTAATCAATATAGCAGTCACGGCTGTAGACCCACCCCGACCCAAGTCAGAACTATTTGATAGAATCGCCTGGTCCGTCTTCTCATAAGCTTTTGCAATAGACCTTCGAGGATCAACCCAGAACTCTCCCTGAATAAAACAATTAACCAGATAATTAGTGAATAAGGAAGGACCAGAAGTTACAGAACCCAAGCTAAGTTTGGTTTTTACCTCCTTAAGGATATTGGAGAAGAGGCGTTTCTGCAAATAAGCAGGGACACTATCACCCATATGACCATCATAAATAGCAAAAAGCCCCAATTCATGGTCTTGAATGTTGATAAAGTTAGCAACATGATAATCTTCCATGGGATGATTAGCTTTCCCTTTCACTAGACTAAACCCATACTTAATCATCCCTTCATCACTTCTTCCTTTACCTGATCGAGATGATGATTGTCCTCCCACAACCTAAACCCACACCAAATAAGCAAAATTTAACACAAAGCTCTCAGATCTTCACTTCTAAGAAAAATTATTCCACAGAATTTCATCTCATAACATTGAAAAAAAACAAAAACGAAATTCTATAGCCACAAATTCGATGATATATTGAAAATCATCATCACTAGAACAGAAATCTTTACCTCAGAAGCGGAAGTGAAGCAACAAAATTTTCCCATTTTTTTGAATCGAAGAAAATTTCTTCGATTTTGGCAACCTAATTCAAACTTGCGCAGATTTATTCAAATAAACAAAACAATCTGCAAAAAAAAAAAGCAAAATCAAAACCTCGGAAAAAAGGCAAAATCTTCATTGAGGAGCTTGGAGATGATAAGAAGAGGGGGAGATTTTACCTGGAAATAAAAACCCTAATTTGGTTTCAATTTTTTTTGAGGTACTCAACGATAAATCCACAAAGTCTCTGCGACGAAGTCTTCGCTCTCTTTTCGTTTATGTCTTTTTCCTACGCGAATTTTTTTTATATATTCAGTTGAAAGATAAATAAAATGAGAGCTATCTGTTATTTTTTTATTTTGCATTAGCGTCCTTCATAAATACTAAATCTTTACTTTACGCGCCATATTATTGAATTTTAGATTATGACCATATTACTTCCTTCTTGACGTCGATTATTTAATCTGTGTAACAATAATTTTTTAACCTTTAAAGTTTATTTCTGTTTCGGTGATGAATTTGTTACAAACATTGCCTTGTATTACAGTAAAAATGAGGGTGTAGATATAACAATACAAATTTTGAGACAAATGTGAGAGATTTTGGAAACTTGGGGTGAAGGTTAAGATAAGTGTAAACGAAATTAGGGGAAGAAAAGGAGAGAGAGAAAGGGATGGAGCAAAAGGAGTGATCTGGTCAAAGAAAATAAAAAAGCTGCCATTTAAAAATTTAGTCTTGGCTATTTGGCATGTTGACTTCCTCTTCCTTTACATTTATGTCATCTCCTTAACAATCCCTATTTTTATTTTTAATGCGTTTTCACTATTCCATCAAAAATGTGCGACATATAAAAAAAAGAGAATTTATAGAAACTAACCTTGAATTCAAAAAGAATTCACAAACTAACCATGAGCTACAGTATCCTGTCTGTAACATGTCGGAATAGCTGTGTAATTACGTATATGTCCTTTGTAACACGTTTTTTTTTCGAATTACATGTGATAGCATAATATATCTCTTTTTATCATGTATTTTTCTCGTACTACATGTTATTTATAAAGAACACATAGTATTTCTCGAAAAAAACATTATAGTCAGTGTAATATCTGTCTTTATCATGTTATTTTGTAATAATACGCGTGTTTTATTAAGATCACATGTGATTTCATTTTTAAAAAGATGATTATTTTTTAGTAATACACGATTTTTTTTAAGATTACATGTGATTTCTTTTTAAAAAGTTACTATTCAGATTAAATTTTCCATGTCAATGTTTTTTCTTAAAATAACACTACGTAACAATGTTTTTTCTTAAAAATTCACTATGTTTTTTAAAATATCATGTCTTTTAGTTAAATATAACATGCGAAATTTAAATGTTACATGCTATTTTCAAAAATTTCACGAAACTGTCTTATTTTTTTATCTCCAGCGACAAAGTTCTTGTAATTACTATAACTTACAAGGATAATTTCGTATTTATCCTACCCCTACCCCACAAGAAAAAGAGTTAGTTACCAAAAGTTTCTGACGCATGGTTACTTCCTTAATTGATGTGTTTTTTTTGGCTACTTTGTAATATTTCCCTAAAAAAAAATCGTATAATTTTATTTTAATCTCTAACCTCTATTATCTCTATATTTTATTTGGATAAATTAATTTATAAAAAAATACAGTAGTTTTACTTTTTTCACCAGTTATATTTTGGAGTATTAAATAATGGGATTATCCAAAACTGAAGGATTAAGTAAAAAAAGTATATGAATGTTTCGTTTTCACACAAATTAATGCATGAAATTAGCCGTTTACTAGGAAAAAAAAAATCCATTTTGGATTTGATATATGGCTTAACGATTGCGGTAATTTTTTTTTTTTTTTTTGTCATCGATTGCGGTAATTATTTTACCTTTTTATTTTTAGAACTAAAAATTCGAAAACAATTATGTAGTGCTTAATTGAGTAAAATGTAAAATATCAGGTCTCTTCCCATTACCAGAATCTAAACGAATGCGACAAGAAAGTGGAAAGGGTCAAAGGCTTCGACGCGTTTACTAGCCATCTTTTTGTTTCTTCATTTAATGTGATTCGCACACATTTCATGACTTTTGACCCTTAATTATGTTTTTTGTTTAATCAAACACATCAATATAGCTTCCTTATTTATACATAAAATCTTGATTGCTAGCCTAAAACAAACGATTTGTTGCTTAAAATAATAAACTTGTTCGTCTAATCCTCCGTGATATGTTCCTCTAAATTAGGTTCATAGGCCCCCTAGTCATGTATATCATAGGCCCCTAGTCATGTACTCATTTCCTATTATGGGCCCTTTATGAGCCCAACCCATTATTTAAAAAAATAAATAAGAGTTAGATCAAAGCTTATCTTATTTTCTTACTATGTATATAAGTACTGATACAGATACTGATACTGATACTGATACTGATACTGATACTGATACTGATACTGATACTGATACTGATCCTGATAGTGTATGTTAATGAGCCCAAGAATGTGAAACTAGATATGTATGAGTTATGTATATATACAAGTACTGATAGTTTTATTCTATGCTTATATGAATGGATTCGACCGGCACGATTGAACTGCTTTCCACTTTCTTCATGGTGTTTCTTCTTAGTCCTCAGTGATCACTCCACTTGGAGTCAGTGTTCTGTGATGCCAATCATTCAACATAAAAGTGTTAACCTCCAGAGCAAATGAACCACTAATAACACCAACAAATACCAAATATACAAATATAGGGAGAACTATAAAGATGACAAACATACTCAAACACTTTTGATTGATGCAAGGTTTTTATCAATGTTTTCTGAAACCAGCTACTGGGTCAGAAGCAGATTCCGGATTATTTCTCTTACCAACATTTACAAGTTTTTGAAACACTCGCATCGTTATTCCATGTTATAAAAATTAGATAGTTGATGCAAGCAGCAAAATGTTTATGTAAATCAGTGAGCAAGCTTTCACAAAGAGTATGTATCTGAGAGTTAAGAGAGATAGGGAACTGACTTTGCGAGGTAGACTTCAATCAAATGCATAGGGATCATCAGCATATGGGTTGAGGGAACCTTCTGAAAACAAGTCTCCAATATTTGCAGAGCGAGGATGACCGCCCATCGCTGTTTCCTGCGCTTAGAAGACCATAACAATATGCAGTTAACTCAGATAACATTTTAGAAACCTAGCATCATCCATAACTTCTTTGCTTGAAAACAATTTCTGCACTTCTAAGTGCCGGACTTTTCATAGTACAAGGATCAATGTGTTTTGGACCTTAGATGTTTGCTTGGTTTTATCCTAGCATTACACTCGCATAGACCTAAAGCTTGGTTAAGCAGCCTAAGTCTGAGCTCCTATTGTTCCCACCTGTCTGTCAGATTATCTATTTTCCTATTAAGGAAGGTGTGATGGAATGACTTAAGTTACAGAAAACTATAGTAAGTTTTGTGAAAATATGATATTTATCCTATCATCAAATCTACTTTTTTACTCTCTGCTTCAACACTAGTTGACTGGAGTGGGGGTTTGTTCATTTCAAGCATCAGTAAAAGTTGTGAATTTTCATTTTACCTTGGCGATACTTTTGGGGGTCATCAATTTGGGTGTCAACCTAGTACTGCGTCTTTGTGGCTCCTGTTGCCAAAGAATGTAAAGTTAGATTTCTTGAATATGTCTATATAGCAGGATGGACAAGCTGACCTGAAACATTGTTGTATTTCTTGTTTTTCTTCGTTTAGGTATCCTCCCATTATTCGTTTCAACGTCATACTCACGATGAGTTACCTGCCAAGTTGAACCATAAACCAAACAATAAGGTTGATTTCGATGTAAAAATGCAAAGGTTCAAATGTTTACCTTGCTATGATGCTTTGGATTTGGAATGCTCATTACGCTTCCTGTGTTTACATTTTTAGCCTTCTTCAATATATTTGACACAGTTGTTACTTTTGCCTTTACATAAGGAGAGTCCTGCATTTGATCCATGGGAAAGTGTTAATATGTTGCCTTGACAAAGCAGACACAAAAAAAGAAGAAGATATATCTGATTTTCTGCCTGTTCGTCATCATTTTCTGTCCTCACTGTTATATGCTCGCTTCTTTTATTACCACCAAGACGAGATTCTTTCACTTTCATCGACGAAAGTGAATAGTCCTACAAGGTAATAAACACCATGTCAACCACTTACCCTGTTAATGTTATTTTAAGAACATATTTTAAAGTGGATAGATAACGATAAGGAAGGAAATAAAGTCCACTCTAACCTTGTTTGAGTTTACTTCTTGCGCTTCAGGTGGATTGTCACTCATCACCTTCCACTGTAACTGCACCAAAGCTCTTTGCCTCTCTTCCTGCAAGGTTAGCCCATTAGTTAAACCCATAAAGATTTATCTTATGATGGATCTGAAAAGAGATTTTAGAGGCTCATCAAGGTCCATTTACAGGCCAAGGCCATAAAGGCCTATATGAAATTCTAACAACATCATGGCATTCTCAATTATCTCTGAACCTAGCTATGTTAGGCTCTTTAACCATTGTTTCACCATATGTATTCCATGCCCCTTATCCATATCTAGCTACTAACTATGCTAAGAAACACTTACTTTTTTCCTTTGAAGATCTAATTCTTCTTGCAGCTTCTTGCAGTCATCTTCATACTGACACTTGAATGCTTTCAACTGAGCATCATGCTCACTCTTCAGAGCTGTTATCCTCTGGATAAATATACAAACTATTGAATACCAGAGGCTCCATACTCTTTCATCTGTTTGAGCTATGAAGTTATATCTGTGGTTACCTCTTTCAGTTCATTTTCAGCCTGAATCTGATTTTGTCTCAGTTCCTGGTCATACTTGGCTTTGAGATTGAGCTCCTTACTCTCATGCTCCTTCCGAATACTGAGAATCTGGGGAACATGCAGCTTTTCTCAGTTGATTTGCAAAAAAATTTAAACTTCCATGCTGTCAGAAATAAACTTCCAAACAGATAATGCATACAAGAAATACAAGAACGTTTTAGATTTCTACATTTTCTGTTACTAAACAACTCAACTCAGTTTGATTAATCCATTCTAAGCTCATTTGGTGATGGTCAGAACCATCAGATATTTTGGAATCCATTGATGCTATCAGACAATTAACAATGCATGAATTCAGTAACAGGATAAGATGTGGTAGCTTTAGCTTAGAGATTCGCAAAGAAGCCTTGTCCAAATATTTCATAAATGATTTCCAACATACCAGAGAAGAATGTTCCTCTTGAATGGTCAACAGTTGCCTCTTTGATTCTTCTTTGCAATCTGAGAGTTCTTTATCATATTTAGTGGACAGCTCCTTGATTATCTTTTCAACCTGGAGTTAGAACCACAAAAAACATCACCGAGACATCATCAATTGTTCAGAAGACTGCAACAAAAGATACTGTGGTCATTATACCTTGTCCTTTTCAGAATTAATAATCTCCTGCTTCTCTACATCATACTTCCTCCTGATATCATTAATTGCCTAAAAATAACATAGAGAGATCAAAATTTTCTTTAGTGTCTTTGCATATTGCATTCAGATTCAGCTAAGGGCCTTACGATACTAATTTTGCTAATATATGGAAACATTGCTACAGATATACCTGGTCATTCCTCTGTGATAATTCTTTTAAGTGCCTTGACAATTCCAACTGTTTACTTTCTAGCATCAGGTCATATTGCTTCTTTGCTTCTACAAGCTTAGTTTCAGCAGTTGCCAGTAGCTCCTTGTCCTGCAGTGGGATTCATATATGATGAGTACTAAAACGGTCGATTTAAAACCTAAAAGCCATGCCCTAGAATTAACATTTTAGACCTTAATGATTTGTTGGTTTAAATTCTTCTCGTTTTCATTGCACTGCAGGATAAGATTCCCTTTCTCCTCTATGACGGTTTGGAGCTGGTTCACCTCTTTCGCCAACAAATCCGCCTGCAAGTGATGGCTCTCACTCTCTTTTTGCAAAGTCTCTAGTTCCCCAACTTTTCTATGTGCATCTGCCTGCAGTGTCTCGTACTTCTCTTTGCTTTCCATCTCTAATGATGAAAGCTTTATTGACAATTCTTGCTGCAAGATAAACAAGAAAAACATTAGCATCACAAGAATGCATTAGCTACAGTGCATAGGGATAGAAATTAATTTTATACCTTCTTATCCTCTGATGTCTTTACACTTTCCAATAAAGTTTCTATTTCCTCTTTCAGCTTCGAAATCACTGATTCTGTTTCAGCGTTCTTTAAAACAAGTTCTTTTGCTTCAGACTCCAATTTATCAATAGTCTGGCTTGCAGAGAAGCGTACCCCAGAAAGTTGAGATATTAAAGACTCTTTATCATTCTGGAGCTCAACTATTTTTTCACTTAGTTCATTGCGTGTTGATTCCAGAGCTTCTTTTTGGGCAGTTACGCTAGAAAACTCGCCCTGGAGTTGATCAAACGATCTTTGAGCACGATCTGATGCAAGATCTCTGTCTTTACGCAACAACATAAAGTGGGTATCATATAGGCCACTTAGTTTCTCAAACTTTTCCTTGAAGGTCAGATTCTTTCTGTCCAATTCAGCCAACTCAGCTACCAAGTAGTGGACAAATTCATCGAGCTTCTTAACCTCCTGCTCTGAGCTGACTACTTTTTCAAAAAGTTTATCTGCACTCAGCTGAACACTCGTCTTTTCTCTCTCCAACTTCTCTTGGATACTGACAAGATCTTTGGCCTCGTCTTCTTTTGTTGTTAACTCAAGAAGTAGCTTTTCTAGTTGGGAGTTCAAGTTTTCAGTGTTGAGTTTTCTTTCGGCTGCAGTTGCTTCCAACTCTTTTATCACAGCATCTGCCACAGAGGAAACACTCAATAAGAAGACAAATTGCTTTATATCATGAATTTATTTCCGAAACATTGCCTTTTTCCGTCTACTTTGCTGTGTGGCCACATATTTAAGCTCTTCAAATCGTCGTCTAGAACAAGACTATTTCAGCCATCAATTTTTTACTGCATGTCACCAATGGCATCGTGAAATCAAAAGGAACGAAAAAACGTACCTTTCTTCTCAATGAGACTGGCAGTTCCGCACCGTTCAGTTTGATAGAACATTTCTTTCTGTTGTTTCTCGAGTTTGAGCTCCTCCAATTCCTTATCTCCTGCATTTTCAACTCAAAGTTATTACCAACTTGGATACCAATTGCGTTTCAGGTCATAAATAGGATAATGCAACTACTTACTGCTTGTGATTTCTTCTTTAGCAGCATCTAATCTTAAAGACATGTCTCGCATTTGCTGGTTCAAAGAGTCTATTGCTTTTGAACTAGTACTGAATTTGGTCTCAGAAAAACTTTTATCCTTCTCAGCTGCAGATGCAAGTTAGGAAACATATAAAGAAACACAGCATAAGCATATATAAGATATTTCACAAAATCAGATGACTGCATGATCATTTACTCTTACCATCCTGAACTTGAGAAGCTAAATGCTGCAGAGTCTCAGTAAGTTGATCACACAGAGTCTTTGTTGAAGAGAACTTAGATTCCAATCCTCTCCAAAGCTTCTCATCTTCCTTTTGCCTAACTCTGAGCTTAGCATTCTCATTAAAGGCGTTCTGAAGTTTCTCCTCTAAGGCATAGACATGCTCCAGTGACTTTTTTAGCTTACAATTCTACACCATTGAAAAGCAAAATTTCTTTCAAATTTAGGTGAATGATGTATCTGCTATCTACTCCGAAGAACAAAACAAGAGCTCAGACCTCCAGATCAAAACTACTTTCATAAACGCAAACCTAGCAATATACCTCACAAGCACATCCATCGAATTTAAGTTCGTAAACACAAATAATGTATGAAGAAAACAGGATAGCTTCCAAAATACCGCCAGTTCTAGATCTGTTCTCATAGCCGCCTGATCCTTCACCAGTTTCTCTGTTAAACAAACGTGAAATCGTCGATATCATCATAACAGTACGATTTGAGAGAGGCGGATTGAAATAAAACAAGAGAAAGACCTGCAGTGAGTTTCAAATTCGAGAAACTTCCGGAGGAGACGGAATCCTGAGGCGGACGAGTGGAGAAGGAGTACGTCTTCGCCGATCCAGACAACGATCGGAGTTGATCCAAGCTCTTCATCGCCGGAAACCCTAACTTCTGCATCTCGAGATCGGAGATCGAGATTGTAAGCAACAAAATGACGAAATCGATCTCTCGCTCTTGGTCTCTCGCTCTGTCGCTCTCAATTTCTTGCGCGCGCTCTCGAAATTGTTTGAGAAAAAATCTGAAATAAAGTTGGGCGCCAAATACGTCGGTGGTGTTTATACCGGAGAAGCCGATTCATTTATCCCAACGGCATGCTGACACGTCAGAGACTCAGGATATCGTAGGAGTCACGTGGCAATATCAACGGCTGCGATTGATTATCAACGAGCTACATTTTTTTTTTTTTTTTTTGTCATCCGAAATTAATTAGATCTCAAAAGAGCCATTCCTGAGGAATGTTGTTTACAAATGTGATATGAAGCGGTTCTGTACGAATTTTTCGTGCCAGATGATCCGCTTTTACATTAGCATTGCGAGAAATTAAAGATAAAGAGAAGGATGAGAATTCTTCCTTGTCGCTCTGGAATTCCTCCAAGTACACTGAAAACGCCGGCCATTCGGTTGGAGAAGACACCATCTTCACCAGATCAGAACAGTCTGTAAGGAACTCTACCTCTTGATTATCTGCACCAATCATACACTTCATCGCCCAGAGAAGGGCCTCGAACTCGGTATGTAATGGAGATAAACTTCGACGGAGATTTGCAGCTCCCATGGTTGGCGGCTCTCCGTTTGATGATGTACAAAACCATCCTGTACCGGAGAACTTATCACTTTCTTTCCACGATCCATCTACAAAGCAACGGTATCCAGAATAATTCGAGTCAAGTGAAGTATTCCCCACTCGAGAACGATTAACCAATTCCGCAGTACCATGAGTTTCATGATGAAGCTCAATTTGGGCTGACTGCCACAATTGTGCTTCTTTTTCCGCTAACCGTAATACCTCCAACGGATCTTTATCAATGTTTTCAAATATTTTTTCATTCCTTGCTTTCCATATATACCAGATAATCCATGGAAAGGCTGAAGAGTCAAATTCCGAAGGTATTCTCCAAAATAAATGGTCCAAATTTGCAAAAATAGACTCCGTTGGAAAAATTCCCATTGCTGTAGGAATCTGAGAGAGTGCCCAAACCTATCGTGCCGGGTGGCACTGAAAGAGTGTATGATTGATTGTTTCCACTAGTTCGCCACATCTAGCACAACCAATATCACAATCAATTCCCCTTCTCCGCAAATTTTCCGTAACTGGTACACAACCCGTTAAAATTTGCCATAAGAAATGACGTATCTTAGGTGGACAATGCACTTGCCAAGAATGTGCTTTTAACGGTTTGATGTCTGGTCCAATCAATGAAAATTTTGTCTCCGAATTTCCTAACCGTGCGGTATGATATCCCGATTTGACTGTATATTTTCCGGATTTTGTAAAATGCCAACCTAGTGTATCCTCCTTAGTTGGTGCACCCACAGGTAGGGCACTTATCATGGCGATATCTTCTGGATCAAAGATCTCTTCTAAGAGAGCAATATTCCAGAAATTCGACCGACTATCTATAAGATTGTTAACTTTTAACAATGGATCAACAAGTGAACCATTACTATTTGCTGGTCTCGGGAATTGAGCTGGAATCCAGGGATCCTCCCAAACTGAGATGGATTTCCCCGATCCGACCCTTTTAATAAGTCCTTTATTAACCAGAGATCTAGCTGAACAGATACTACGCCATCCATATGATGGGGAGTATGATTTAATATTTTCCAAGGGATTGGATTTCCGAAAATACCGCCCTTTAAACACCTTCGCAAAAAGAGAATCTGGAACCGTAATCAACCGCCATAATTGTTTAGCTAATAGGGCTGAATTAAAATCATCTACATTCCGAAAACCTAATCCTCCTTCCGATTTACTATCGCACAACTTGTTCCAAGCCATCCAGTGCATACCTCTCGAATCTCCATTTGAACTCCACCAAAATTTAGCAACCGCACTAGTAAGTTTAGAAGTGATTGTTTTCGGTAGTCTGAAGCACGACATAACATAAGTTGGTAATGCTGCAGCTACCGATTTAATCATCACTTCTTTCCCACCTTTCGATAAAAATTTTGCCGACCATCCGTTAATTCTTGTTTGTAATCTATCTCTGACAAAAGAGAAAATTTTTGTTTTAGATCCACCCAAACTCTCTGGCAAACCAAGATAAGAACCCATCCCACCAATATTAGTGATTCCCAAGGTAGATTTGATTTCCTCCTTGATATCCTCATCTACCTTATGTCCAAACTGAATCGAGGATTTTAAAAAATTAATCTGTTGTCCTGAGACCGCTTCATACTTCTTTAAAATCCCCAATATTACCTCACACTGGTCCTTATTTGCCTTACAAAAGAATAAGCTATCATCCGCAAATAACAGATGTGAAACCGAAGGGCTTGCATTTGCTATCTTAATACCCGTAATTAGTTGTTCCCTTTCTGCTTTCCGAATATTCGCAATTAGCACCTCTGTACAGAGGATGAATAAATAAGGGGATAGCGGGTCTCCTTGTCGTAATCCCCTTTCTGGTACAATTAGTCCTCTAGGTTGTCCATTAAGGAGCACTCTATATTGAACTGTTGTAATGCACCACATTATCCAGTTAATCCATTTCTCACAGAAACCTAATTTTCTTAGAACCTTCTCAACGAAAATCCATTCCACCCTATCATAAGCTTTACTCATATCAGTTTTAATGGCCATGAATTTTCCTTTACATGTCGGGTTAGTTCTCAACCCATGAAACATCAACGAGCTACATTTCTATCGACATATGTATTTTTCATTTTTCAGGGACACTATATTTTCTATTTTTCTTCTGAAGTTATAAAAATGGGTTCGTGTACAAAGGTGATGATACTAATCTTCACCTATCTAATGAAAACATAAGGCTTTGCTAGATTCCTTCAGCTGTGTTAATGAATAGCAAGCTTTCCCCATTTTTCTTTGAAACAGAGTTCATTAACCATGTTGCCACCATATCATTGCACCTAGACCAAAAACCATAATCACGATGATTCTCAAGTGGCCTAACAACAGTACCATCTACAAAACCTAATTTTGTTTCAAATACGAAGACGAGGGTAAGTTTATTAGAGCATAAACAAAATATAGTTCTAAATATATATTATATATATGTTATATGAGTTGGGATCTTCATTGATTTATGTTATATATTTGTGTAAATTTAGAAAGATTCACAAAAAGTTTTATGAGCTGGGATCTTCATTGATTTATATACTTTGATGATATAAAACGAAAATACCTTCTCAATATATAATGTTATCAGCATCTTCTTCCAATCTTCAAGGTTAGCATTGTTCATGTTCCAACGCATCCTCGTCATAAACATGTTTCTCCAAGTAGTGGAGGAACATAACATCTTCGACCTCAGGTATCCAGACGATCACCCTTATTAGAGGGTAAACATTATATGGATGTCCATTATAGGCCTATCTCATACCCATATTCTAGAATGTTGACTTACTTGTTCCCCAAATTCTATTTGTTCTCCGTTAAAAACGTATTTCTTCATGGTGATCTTATTGAAACTATCTAAGTTGGCTTATTTTATAGTTATTTTCTTCTTTATAGTTATTTTCTTTTTATATATTTAAAAAAGAGAATCACATAATCAATTGATAAATATATTTTCCATTATAATTCTTTTCATGAAGCATTGTGGAGTTTTTAATACATATGATCATTATCAATTAGTTTTGAATGCTTCTCATGGACTTGCAAATACACATACACGAACGATTCATGGGTCCAAAACTGCAGAAGTGCATGTCAAACTTTGCAATCGTAAGGCTAAGAGTTACAAACAATGAAGCCTAAAAAAGCCTGAGGTAGATGCTAGGACATAGAATGAGAGGGGAAATCAATGTATTGTTAGATACTGCTTATATTAGTTGGTTGGTTCCTATCAAAACGCCAGTACATAACACAATAGAGGATAAATGAATCCATATCAGTCAAAGTAGTTTCTGTTAATAGTATAATCTAGATTGAAAGACTATCAACAAGAGTTTTGCTCCTTGAATCAGCTAGTCTGCTATCACGACATGACAACATCCAGCGCACAACAACCCAAGGCTTTGGATCGAATCATATTCAAAACTAGCATATATGGAGTCAGAAGTCGAGCTTGCACACTAAAGCAACCACATCTTTTGAAAGTAGTGAGATTTGACAGCTTCAGATGCAAAGCTCAGTGCTTTATGAGCAAGAGGGTTATGACTCATGATCACCCATACGCACAATAATTAAGAGAGACCAACAATGTAATCCAAATCCAGAGGATGCACCGGTAATAAAGATCAGTGACCAACTACTTGAAACAATACTCAAAATAAGGGTATAAATTTTAAGCAATCAGGCACCATTCTTCTGATAAAACCCTACCAATACAATTCAAGGATCCAAAACGACGAAAAGGGATGATTCAATTGCATATCTCACTAAAAGGTTCACATCACAAACATCAGCAACAAAACCCAGAAACCCTAACAAAAACCCCCAAAAAACATCATAAACGAAAACTTACAAGTAAAATTTTCCCAATCAATTAAACCTCGTCTTCATGAAGAAGCATATTTGGGATTCCTTTGTTAACCGGAAACTTCCGACCAGTCTCAGGGCAAACAAGCGCGCCTTCTTCGAGGTGGAGCTCGAGCAACGCGTGGTGGAGTTTCTTAAGGAAGGGCTCATCTGATTTCAGCACCGCCGCGTCCGGAGAATCCTCCGGTAACTCAGCGTATCCCATGGAACGCGCACCTTCCACAAGAGCTTTCCACTCAATCTTCGCGAACATGTGCCTGATAAAATCGGGATTGAAATCGACTTCCTTCTCAATCACGTTCCCAGCTTCGATCCGTAGAGGAAATCCATTGGTGACTCCTTTGATGTTGCAAGAAAGCATGTTGTGCGTTATCAACCTCATCTCTAGTTTCTCTCTTGCTTAACCCTAGGAAAAAAAAAGCAAGAGGAAGACGAAGAGGAAGATGCTAATGCGGCCGAGGGTTTTTGTTTTTGTTTCGCTGCGTTTGATTTTAATCTCAGCCGTTGATTTTTGCCACGTGACTCCTGCGATATTTTAGTCTCTGACGTCAGCAAACCGCGTAATATGCACGCTACTTCTTAGCGCGTGGAGTATTTTCAAAATTTTGCCGTTAGTCGAATTAATCGACTTCTCCGGTATAAAACACCACCGAAGTGTTTGGCGCTCAACTTTATTTCAGATTCATCTCACACAATTCGAGAGCGCAAGCAGAAATTGAGAGCGAGAGTGAGAGACGAAGAGAGCGATAGATCGATTTCGTCATCTTTTTCATTTCAATTTCGATCTCCGATCTAGAGATGCAGAAGTTAGGGTTTCCGGCGATGAAGAGCTTGGATAAACCGCGATCGTTGTCTGGATCGGCGAATATGTACTCCTTCTCCAATCGTCAGCCTCAGGATTCCGTCACCTCCGGAAGTTTCTCGAATCTGAAACTCACTGCAGGTTTTTCTCTTGTTTATTTCATTCCGCTTCTCTTATCGTACTGTTGTGATGATATCGACAATTTCATGTTTGTTTAACAGAGAAACTGGTGAAGGATCAGGCGGCGATGAGAACAGATCTAGAACTGGCGGTATTTTGGAAGCTATCTTGTTTTCTTCATACATTGTTTGCGTTTACGAACTTAAATTCGATGGATGTGCTTGTGAGGTATATTGCTAGGTTTGCGTTTATGAAAGTAGTTTGGATCTGGAGGTTTGAGCTCTTAGTTTTGTTGTTCCGAGTATATAGCAGAAACATATTCACCTAAATTTGAAAGAAATTTTGCTCTTCCATGGTGTAGAACTGTAAGCTGAAAAAGTCAATGGAGCATGTTTATGCCTTAGAGGAGAAACTGCAGAACGCTTTTAATGAGAATGCTAAGCTCAGAGTTAGGCAAAAGGAAGATGAGAAGCTTTGGAGAGGATTGGAGTCTAAATTCTCTTCGACAAAGACTTTGTGTGATCAACTTACTGAGACTCTGCAGCATTTAGCTTCTCAAGTTCAGGATGGTAAGAGTAAATGATCATACAGTCATCTGATTTTGTGAAATATCTTATATATGCTGTGTTGCTTTATATGTTTCCTAACTTGCATCTGCAGCTGAGAAGGATAAAGTTTTTTTTGAGACCAAATTCAGTACTAGTTCAGAAGCAATAGACTCTTTAAACCAGCAAATGCGAGACATGTCTTTAAGATTAGATGCTGCTAAAGAAGAAATCACAAACAGTAAGTAGTTGCATTATTCTATTTATGACCTGTAACGCAATTGGTATCCAAGTTTGTAACATCTTTGAGGTGAAAATGCAGGAGATAAGGAATTGGAGGAGCTCAAACTCGAGAAACAACAGAAGGAAATATTCTATCAAACTGAAAGGTGCGGAACTGCCAGTCTCATTGAGAATAAAGGTACATTTCTCGTTCCTTTTGAATTCACAATTCCATTTGGTCACATGCAGTTAAAAAATGATTGTTGAATTAGTCTTGTTCTAGACTGCGATTTGAAGAGCTTGAATATGTGGCGAATATGTGGCCACACATTTCAAAAAGCAATGTTTCTGGAAGACGTTCATGATCTAAAGCAATGGTATTTTCTTCTTATTGAGTGCTACTTCTGTGGCAGATGCTGTGATAACAAAGTTGGAAGCAACTGCAGCTGAAAGAACACTCAACATTGAAAACTTGAATTCCCAACTCGAAAAGCTCCATCTTGACTTAACAACAAAAGAAGACGAGGTCAAACACCTTGTTTGTATCCAGGAGAAGTTGGAGAAAGAAAAGACGAGTGTTCAGTTGAGTGCGGATGAACTGTTTGAAAAACTTGTCAGCTCAGAGCAGGAGGTTAAGAAGCTCGATGAATTTGTCCACTACTTGGTAGCTGAGTTGACTGAACTGGACAGAAAGAATTTAACCCTCGTGGAAAGTTTTGATAAACTAAGTGGCCTATATGATACTCACATTATCTTGCTGCAAAAGGACAGAGATCTTGCATTGGACCGTGCTCAAAGATCATTTGATCAACTCCAGGGCGAGTTATTTAGAGTAACTGCCCAAAAAGAAGCTCTGGAATCTGCAGGCAATGAACTAAATGAAAAAATTGTTGAGCTCCAGAATGATAAAGAGTCTTTAATATCTCAACTTTCTGGGGTACGCTGCTCTACAAGCCAGACCATTGATAAACTGGAGTCTGAAGCAAAAGGACTAGTTTCAAAACATGCTGAAGCAGAATCAGTGATTTCGCAGCTGAAAGAAGAAATGGAAACTTTATTGGAAAATTTGAAGACATCAGAGGATAAGAAGGTATAAAATTCTATAAATGCACTGTAGCTAATGCATTTTTGCAATGCTAATTTTTTTCTTGTATATCTTGCAGCAAGAATTGTCATTAACGCTTTCATCATTAGAGATGGAAAGCAAAGAGAATTGCAAGAAACTGCAGGCAGATGCACAGAGACAAGTTGGGGAACTAGAGACTTTGCAGAAAGAGAGTGAGAGCCATCAGCTGCAGGCGGATTTGTTGGCAAAAGAGGTGAACCAGCTCCAAACCGTCATAGAGGAGAAAGGGCATGTTATCCTCCAGTGCAATGAAAACGAGAAGCAGTTAAACCAACAAATCATGAAGGTCTAAAAAGTTAATTCTAAGTCATGGCTTTAAGGTTTTCTAATCGACATTTTTAGTACTCATCGAATATAAGTCCCACTGCAGGACAAGGAGCTACTGGCAACTACTGAAACTAAGCTTGCAGAAGCAAAGAAGCAATATGACCTGATGCTAGAAAGTAAACAGTTGGAATTATCAAGGCACTTAAAAGAATTATCACAGAGGAATGACCAGGTATATCTGTAGCAATGTTTCCATATATTAGGTAAATTAGTATCGTGAGGCCCTTAGCTGAATTTGAATGCAATATGCAAAGACACTAAAGACAATTTTGATCTCTCTATGTTCTTTTTAGGCAATTAATGATATTAGGAGGAAGTATGATGTAGAGAAGCAGGAGATTATTAATTCTGAAAAGGACAAGGTATAATGACCACAGTATCTTTTGTTGCAGTCTTCTGAACAATTGATGATGTCTCGGTGATGTTTTTTGTGGTTCTAACTCCAGGTTGAAAAGATTACTAAAGAGCTGTCCACTAAATATGATAAAGAACTCTCAGATTGCAAAGCAGAATCAAAGAGGCAACTGCTGACCATTCAAGAGGAACATTCTTCTCTGGTATGTTGGAAATCATTTATGAACTATTTGGACAAGGCTTCTTTGCGAATCTCTAAGCTAAAGCTACCACATCTTATCCTGTTACTGAATTCATGCATTGTTGATTGTCTGATAGCATCAATCGATTCCAAAATATCTGATGGTTCTGACCATCACCAAATGAGCTTAGAATGAATTAATCAAACTGAGTTGAGTTGTTTATTAACAGAAAATGTAGATATCTGAAACGTTCTTGTATTTCTTGTATGCATTATCTGTTTGGAAGTTTATTTCTGACAGCATGGAAGTTTAAATTATTTTGCAAATCAACTGAGAAACGCTGCATGTTCCCCAGATTCTCAGTATTCGGAAGGAGCATGAGAGTAAGGAGCTCAATCTCAAAGCCAAGTATGACCAGGAACTGAGACAAAATCAGATTCAGGCTGAAAATGAACTGAAAGAGGTACCCACAGATATTACTTCATAGTTCAGATAGATGCAAGAGTATAGAGCCTCCAGTATTGAAACAGTTTGTATATTTATCCAGAGGATAACAGCTCTGAAGAGTGAGCATGATGCTCAGTTGAAAGCATTCAAGTGTCAGTATGAAGATGACTGCAAGAAGCTGCAAGAAGAATTAGATCTTCAAAGGAAAAAAGTAAGTGGTTTTTTAAGATCCATTATAATATGAATCTATATGGGTTTAACTAATGGGCTAACCTTGCAGGAAGAGAGGCAAAGAGCTTTGGTGCAGTTACAGTGGAAGGTGATGAGTGACAATCCACCTGAAGAGCAAGAAGTGAACTCAAACAAGGTTAGAGTGGACTTTATTTTCTTCCTTATCGTTATCTATCCACTTTAAAATATGTGCTCAAAATAACATTAACAGGGTAATAACTGCGAAATATGTATCTGTATGTCTGTAACTAGATATCGTTATTGTTTCATTGTCTGGTTGACAGAATGTTTATCATTTTGTAGAACTATTCAATTTCGAAAGATTCTCGTCTAGGTGGTAGCAAAAGAAGCGAGCATATAAGAGTGAGGGCAGACAATGATGACGAACAGGTAGAGAATCAAAATATATGGTTTTGTTCGTTTCTGCTTTGTCAAGGCTACACATATAAACACTTCCTCATGGATCAAATGCAGGACTCTCCTTTTGTAAAGGCAAAAGAAACACCTGTGTCAAAAATATTGAAGAAATCTCAAAATGTAAACACAGGAAGCGTACTGAGCATTCCAAATCCGAAGCATCATAGCAGGGTAAACATTTGAACCTTTTACATCTTTACACTTTTACATCAATGTCAACCTCATCGTTTCTTTGGTTTGTGGTTTAACTTGTCAGGTAACTCATCGTGAGTATGAAGTTGAAACGAATAATGGGAGGGTAACCAAACGAAGAAAAACAAGAAACACAGCCATGTTTGAGGTACCTTGTCCATCGAAACAAGAAATATATGGAACATATTCAAGAAAGCTAGCTTTACACTCTTTTTCAACAGGAGCCACAAAGACGCAGGACTAGGGTTACACCTAAATTGACTCCCCAAAGTGTCGCCAAGGTAAAATACTAATTCACTACTTTTTCTGATGCTTGAAATGTATAAACCCCTCTCAAGTAAACTTAGTGCTGAAGCAGAGAGTAAAAAAAAATATGATGATAGGAAAAACATCATATTTTCACAAAATGCACAATAGTTTTTTTCTGTAACTTGAT